CTTCGTCATACTAACGTGATTGTGAATTTCCATAAATTAAGTTTAATTGTAAAAACCTTCAAATCTTATTTTTTTATATTTTGTGGTAATTAAAATGTTTTATTAACAAATATTCTCAACATAATTTTATTTTGTCTTATCTAAATAAAATATTCATATTTTATCTGTGAAAAATAAAATATGGATCATAGTTCATGGACTACTATCATCTCAGAATTTTTGCCAAACTTTTATTTTCAGAGTTTAATGTTAAATTATTTTAGAAATGTAGGAATAGTACGATGACTGATGACTGTTGTAGTAAAAAATCATAATTTGTGTTCAGAAAGTGAATTAAATAAAAATAAGGTGAAAGAGCAAGGTGAAATATATATTTATTTTGTTAATATTAGTATTTTGTACGGAAGTGTATTGAGGAAATTATAATAAAAAATATAAGTAGGTCACAAGATGATAGCTTGGTCCCATGGTCTAGTGGTCAGGACATTGGACTCTGAATCCAGTAACCCGAGTTCAAATCTCGGTGGGACCTTATTTACACTTATAAAAGTATTTTTATGGAAATTAGAATCTTCATGTATCATTAATCCAAAGAAAAAGAGAAGATTGATATTATGAATTGAAAATGTTTTGTTTTAAATTAAAAAATCAGTCTGAGTTCATAATTTCATGGATATTTTCACCTCACTGAATATCCAAACAGATGCCCAGCGCGTGTTCTTCAGTAACCAGTGCCTCTAATGAAATAAGAGTGACAACTGTTAACTTATCCAGTGTGGATTGCACCTCCATCTTCACATTGAGTTTTTTCGTGCTCGATCGAGCAAATAGGAGGAAAAAAAAAAAAAAGATGTTTATTTCTTGTCAAAAATACAACCTCTACTTTCCCTGTTCCTCCGTTCCCCTGCACAATCCAACAACAACATGCACCATTTTCAATTGCCAAAACCAAAATGAGCATCAGTCCATTCTCCGCAAGCACAATTCCAAATCCACTGCGTATCTCCTTCACCATCTCTCCCTCAAGGATGGGGTACCCATTCCCGCTTCCATCCCCAAACCCAGCGAGCTTCTAGACCCAATGCCCCACGAAGAGAAGGTGAAGGTTTTGGAGCTTTCCCTCGTCAGGAAAAGGACCCCTCAGTTCCCCGGTTCCATCTACGCTCAATCTCCTAGCGACTCCGATGTGGGTTCTTCTCTGCCTCCACTCCGCACTCTCTTTCAATCGGGTGCTGACCCTGATTATAAAGACGAGAAGGGAGAGGAGGAGGAGGAGATGATAATGCGCGCTCTCGAGATTCGCAGGAAGGTCACCGAAGAGGTTTTTAAAGAAGCCATGCGAAAGGGGAAGTTTGGAATCACCTACACTACCAATTTGATTGGCAGGTTATCCGGTCTTATGGATTACATCATGATTGAAGCTGCTAACTTGAAAAGATTGCCCGAATTTTCAAACTCCACCTTCAATTTACGCGCCCAAACTGTCATTGACGACTCTAAAGTTGTGCCCCTTATTAGGTAAGGACTGAGGTTGGCATGAGCTGTTGCCTTTAAGTTGTTGATAAGCTGTTTGTTCCGTTGTCTGTGTGAAACCAAATGTGGTGATGAAGGTACTAAATTGCGATGCCGTAACAATTTTGTCACGATCTTTGGTGTTGTGGGAAACTGCAGAGAAATGCGGTCAATGTGGCTGCAATTGCAGTGGTGATACGCAGAGACGGAGGCAGAAGTTAGAAGCAAGGGGGACCAATATAATTTTTGGGGGTGGCCATGGCATCCTCATGCCACCCTTGGTGATAGATTGTAGTTACTCCAAAAAGCCTTGATGCTTTGGCCGAAATTGTGATCCAGGACTGTTTTTTAAAACCTTGGGGATGATCATCCTTATTGGTTGTTTCTTAAAAGTATTTTCAGTGTGAAATTTCAATTTCAAATGCTTGTATTTGATTGTTTACGTTGATTGTCCAGATGGTTGAAGCATAATTCACTATCGTATCCTCGGATAGCGAAGATCATTTTGATGTCAAGAGGAAAACCTGAGGCCATAAGGAGTTTTGTCACATGGTTGAAATCGGTACGTGTGAAAGGAGAGTTTCTCGGTGTTGTAATGTTGAATGCTGGAGAGAATATATTTCAGCGTAGACAAGAGGAGCTGGATGAGATTGTTATGTATTTGGAGTCCAATGGAGTAAGGAGGGATTGGATGGGTTATGTCATTAGTCGTTGTCCTCAGTTATTGTCTTACAGCTTAGAAGAAGTCAAAACTCGTGCACATTTCTACCTAGATATGGGTTTAAATGAGAAGGATTTTGGTACAATGGTTTTTGATTTTCCTAAAGTTCTTGGTTACTACTCTATGGAAGAAATGAATGAAAAGGTACATTAGATTTTAAGCATACTGTAAAGTAATAAAACTGTCTTGCAATATATCCTCTCTGTCTTCTATGATACTTGGCTAGTTTATTCAGTTTTAGTATCATCCAAATCAAACCTAAAGTAAGTTTAAAGACTTATATATCAAGTTTATTTTGATGTGCCAGTTGATGTTTGTTTGATATATAGATACACAAAGTCTGATGCTGCAAATGTAATTTCAGGTTAATTACTTGAAAGAATTTGGGCTTCAAATTAAGGATGTTGGCAGATTGCTTGCATTTAGGCCACAATTGATGGCGTGCAGCATTGATGAACAGTGGAAGCCTCTTGTTAAGTATCTGTATTATTATGGGATCACTAGAGATGGCATGAGGAGAATGCTTGTCATTAAACCAATGGTTTTTTGTGCTGACTTGCAGAAGACTATTGTGCCAAAGGTATGCAAACACTCATTTTTTTTTTGTTTCTTTTATCAGTTGAGCGATGTTTGAGATTAAGGTGGCAGCTGGTACAATTTAGTAGTGGTACTTGGTACAGCAGATTCGTTTTGTTATCATTATTTTTCACTCCTCCAGCTCATGAGATCTTGATGTTATTGTATTCTTACTCATTGGAAGTGAAGTAGTTTCAGAAATAAAATTTCAAATGATTTTCGTAGTTCTCTACAGGATAATGTGACAATTGTTATTTTATTGTGGAGGTACAATTTTTTGAGAACCTGGGGGTTCGCAATGATGGGATTGGCAACATGCTGGTGAAGTTTCCTCCTCTACTCACTTACAGCCTGCAGAAGAAAATTAGACCAGTGGTTTGTTCATTTTTTCTGCAACTATAGTAGTTCCACCTTAAAGTTATTTTCCAATGCCTTGGAACTGCCATGATAACCCTTTTTGTTAATAATTGAAAAGAGAAGAGACTTCATACTATGTTCAGGAACACCTTATAAAATGATTGGGCCATTAACCAATTTAATATCGTGCAGTGATGGAATTATGAGAAATGCTAGTAAGACAATGTCTGATGCTCTTTGAATACACATACTATCATTTGATGTGAAATGCGGATCTCACATCTTATTTAATGACTAATGATTTTGTTGTAGTTTCTAATAAATCTCTACTCTTAGTAGAGTGTGTATTAGAGAGTGTGTCGCTAACACTCCTCAAATTATATGTATTAGTAACCAACCTCACCGTCATGCACTTCCAACCACATCCGGAAAGCATTAGTTATGAATGGAAATTTATGCATCAAGTGCTTAAAGATTGATTCCCTTCATGTAGAAGAAACTGCGGCATAGACATAATAAGTTAATCACAATAATTATGTCTGGCTCATCTAGAGGCATCAATTGACTCTGTTGCTGAAATTTGAATATTGTGTAGGTCATATTCTTGATGACCAAAGCTGGAGTCAATGAGAAAGATATTGCCAAGGTTGTAGCTCTCGGACCTGAGCTCTTGGGATGCAATATACTACATAAGCTTGATGTAAATGTAAAATATTTTTTATCTCTTGGCATACGTCTTTGGCAATTGGGTGAGATGATTACTGATTTCCCAATGCTGCTCAGATACAGTCCAGATGTCCTTCGTCCCAAGTATATTTTTTTGCGAAAATCCATGGTCAGGCCTTTGAAAGATCTCATTGAGTTTCCAAGGTATCACGTAATTACTTGACCTTAGGTAGATTATTTGCAACAATCGTGTTTGATTCTTACTGCTTTTTTTACCCATTGGTTGGCTATCTTCATTTATCCTTGCCCCTCGCCATTGTCAGGTTTTTCAGCTATTCCCTTGAGGGTCGAATTATCCCAAGGCACAAGGTTCTAGTGGAGAACCATATTAATATTAAGCTGAGATACATGTTGGCTAGCACTGACGAAGAATTCAACAAAATGGTCTACAGTTTCATTAGAAAACGCAGCAGATTTGAATCTGCCGTCACAAATGAGAGCACTACCCATCCCTCCCATTCTGTTGTTAATGGAGATATTTCTACACCCTTGGAATAAAACCACTGATGGCTATGCAGAAAATAGAACGGTGGTTGAATTGTAGAAATTAAAGCTGTATAGTAACTTTAGTCTTAGAGTGCAGAAAAATCTTAATGAGTTAGTGGATGAGAAGGGGCTCCTATGTCCTAATAAACAAAAAGAAGCTTGCAATTTGGCAACATTGCAGCATGACCTTTGAGTACACAATTTTAATCACAGGTTTCATACCAAAAATGGCTATCCATAGTATAAATTTTGCAAGAACATCAAATTTATTTTCTTCACAATTTTATTATACATCGTTTGTGGTTCTTATTTTTTATAACGAGTTTAAAAAATTCAATTATATTTATTTTTTCTAAATGGACGTCCTGTCCTGGCAATGCGATAACTTTGTCTTTATCATAAAATCTCAAAACCACGATAAATTAAAAATTGGTAACTCTGCCATCAATTATTTATCGGAGACGAAAGATAACCATGAACGACACAAGTTTCTCTTGTATCAAAATTCTTCGTATAAAAAAGAAATTAATAATCTACAATCTACAGGTAGTGTTTGATACTAAAAGACAATACATTGTAGTTTATAACAGATGAGAAATAGAGGAGACAAACATGAATCATTTTAATCAATTCCAAGACGACATATTGGATTTTTCTTTATGAGGCCAAGATCCACCTGCAAAAAACAAGAAAAATATCACTTATGTACGTTTGAAAAACATTTAATTTAAAATATACACAAAAGAAACCATCAATAAAATGGAGCAGAATAACCAAATGGTGGTTATTGAGTTCAAAATGGAGATGGGCCCGTCTTTATATTTAAAATACCTTGTGTCCGAATAGATCTCTGATGTTATCTATCCCGTATAGTATCATCGTTGGCCTGTTTCCAGGTAAAACAAGTTAAATCAATTTCTAAACACAACCACCATGTTGTTGCACTTAGATTTGTTATTTATATTTCTGTACGGCAAGGTTATAACGAGAATTTTAAATTTGGGCAATAATTATTTTTAGTGATTAATGGTTATAGTGCTGTATGATTTTTCCCACCTTTCAAGGGAAAGCCCCCACGCAATAACTTGGACATCTTCAGGAAGTCCCATCGGCTGCAACATTTCAGGTCTAAACATGCCCGAGTTTCCTACCTCTACCCATTTTTTAAAACCTTCATGATAACTGTTGAAGTACATTATCAATAAGTTATCTCAGGATATCCGAAATCAGATAAGGACATGAGACTCACCTAAAGATCTCCATGCTAGGTTCAGTGTATGGATTGTAAGCTGGTTTGAACTTCAGCTTGGTCATGCCTGAACTCAATTAAGAAATCACTTCATTGAGCTAAACTCAATAAAAAAGATTAATCATACCTAATATTTAACAAATCTTTTTCAGTACAAGAGAACATTACCTAAGCGTGAGAAGAAATCGTGTAGGACTCCGATCAAGTCACAAAGAGTGAGTCCCCGATCACATACAAGGCCTGAATTAAAACATAAACATGTAACAGTCACAAAATTTCAAGTCCGCTGGTCAAACTACAACAGAAGCTTAATATGATTTGAATTAGGACCATTAAAGGTGAACTAGTTTCATTTGCAAGATGAACAATCTGAAAAACGAGTTAAAATCACAGGGCCAGTAACTTGTTAGATCTCACATACCTTCTATTTGGTGGAACTCCGCAAGATGTGTCCGATCAACTGCCTCATTTCTGAATACACGATCTATAGAGAAATATTTCTTTGGGGCAAATGGTTTCTGCATAAACATCAAAATGCAGACCAAAAATAAAGAATCATGTAAGCTATAATTCACAACTAGAACTTGGAAGACAATCACATATTATGTGTCATAACTTGGTCCAGCTGAAACAAATACTGACATTATTAAGAATTTTCATCCAAAATCGTCATGAAGAATAAGAATATTAGGACGCATGAATGGCACCAGGCAAAGCACATGATACCGGAAAATTCGGGCAGATACCTGTGCCAGTTGGTAAAGCATCCTGGAAGAAACAGCAGTTGTATGGGTCCGCAGGAGGTTTTTATTAGCCTCCTCTCTCTTCCAGTCATATGCATATCTATAAAGAAAGAAATTGCAAGGTTTTACAGAAAACATATCCCTCTATTGATAGTAAGTAGCCAATTGTTAAAAGTGTTGAGTTCTCTCAAGGTCATACCCTCTAGACCCATAACCACCAGATTCATGAACTTGCTTCACTCTTGGAACATAATCTTCAGGCAATTCCTTTGTTGTTGAAGGAGCTGCAGATATGTGTTGCATGTTTTCAAAATAGAAACAGATGATACAAGACTAGCATGATGAAAACAATTAAGGTTTTACTAACTTTCCAAAAAGAATGTATCATGTGAATCACGAGCTGGGTGTTGTTGGGGCTGGAACAGGGCATCAAAGTTCCAGAAGCTGCCGAATAAAGCATTCAGATGTAAAATTGAAAATGAGAGCAAACTTATAACATTATAACCTGTGGATTAAATTTTTTAAAGATAAAATCCATCTAAATACCACACATGCAAGATTAAAGGGATGATGCAGATTAACAATATGAATCAAGATTTAGAATATATATTCTTTTAAATGCAGCTTCATTCACGATGTTGCAATGCATTGTTCAGAATATAGAACAAGAGTTTCTTTCGAAGGTCTCCAGCCACTACAGAAAGAATCTTTTATACTAATTTCTCTATCCTAAAAAAAGAAAAATAGATCAAATAGTACCTTGATGTCATTCAAATGTCCAATGAAACAGGTTACAGAAGATAATATCATCTTTGAATAATCACAAAAAAAGTCATAGCTACATTTTTCTCTCTTTTTTGGAAGGTCAAAATTATTGTTTCAGAATAAAAATCTTGCAATATGCAATGTCTAGGACATTTCGATTTTCAGGCACCTGCCGGCAAACACTTACCATATTTGTTTCACCTGCTTGCTTGAAAGTATCAGTTAAAGACCAGAGAGCTTGCTTGAAAGTATCAGTTGAAAAGGGGGGTATATAGAGAACTTGATTGCAAAGATACAAGGAACTTTGATATTCAAACAACAAAATTATTCTGAATAATGCTTTCATTCAAACAATAATTACCTGCTCTCAACAAAATTATTTGTTGGCATCTCCTCAAACCTGCAGAACCAGAAATTAAGATTAAAAAATTGTTAAACTTGAAATTTGAAACAAATATTTTCCACAAAAACGTAATCCTTCCAAATAACAAACATAAGACTCACCCCATGCAGAGGAAAATCTGTTTCAGCTGAGATCGCACCTGAAAGAAGAGAAATTTGAGATGTGTTTAACACATGAAGTGTTGTCATAAGTTCTTATTGGGTATAATATCATCATTATTAACAAAATTATTCTCTCCTTAGGTGAGGTCATTGTGCTCTATAAAAAAATTGAAATGATATAATTAAATTGTTTGTCTACATCATATAGATTTGACAGAAGTTTTATCTTGCCAGATAAGCTAAAAGCACAATCATCCTCAATTTTGGGGCTAGGGACTGGCAAAGTAAAGTTTCGCAACAAAGTATAACAGGTAGAGATTACTCATTATAACATTAATTGGGGGTGTTGTAAAATCTCTGAACATCAAATTGAAAATTTAAATATGTAAAAATACACTATATTCCTGTTCAGTTTCCAGAATATAACTATTTTTTATTGCGAGCAAAGTTGCTATAGCATACAATTTTAATATTGCTCGAATCTAATCAAATAAAGGATGGGGAAAAGGGAGAAAGGTATATCCCCTTGCCTTCAGTAATGGATGAAGATTGCCACCCTCAAGAGGCTGACCTTTAGCACTATAATTGTACTCCTTGAACTCTAAATCCTTCCACTCACCGCTGACATAAAAAATAAAGTCAGTCCAAGGGTATGCAAATCCATAAAAAATGTCTTGCACAAAGTAGTCATTTGAATATATGGGGAATCACACCATACACATTCAATTTAAGCAAAAAATACCTCTGAAAATTATCACGAGTTAGGTCAGTGACAACCTTCTTTCTTTTGGGTGCATAATTAGGACCTTTTTTCAACGAGTAACCCTTCCACGTCCTAGAACACAAGACAAAAAGAATTTTAACAATGAAAGAGTATTCAAGTCATTTACAGCGCATATAGTATATCTAAAAGGCTCTTCTAGAACCAAGATAAATTCATTACTGTGGGACAATGAGCTTTCGTGCTTTGAGTGCTTTGATCTCATCTGAACCAATGTTCTGCATTTGCAACATGTGTTAATATTTCTAATGAGATACGAAAATTTTACAGGGAAAACTACTGCTGAAAACGATAAGATACCCTAAAAACTTAAAAAGGAGGTAGCAAAAAGGCTCAATAACAATCGTTCAAAATAAATCCCTCTTCCCACTTGCAGTAACTGTCTCATATGTTGAGTTGAGTCTGATGCTCTACAAAACCTTGCCATTTCCCCAAAAGTATAGCCAGAACATTCCATTTAAAAAATGGTTGATACCAATAAATGAGATTGTTGACTACTCAATCAATAGTTTAACATAGCTTGGTATATCTCACTATTTCACCAACCTCAATTTTCATGAAAGCTCCTACTATTCCGAAACGAATAGAATTAAGTGACAATCCCCATCCCACCCCACCCAAAATAAAAATTTCTTCAAAATTCTTCCTATCAATGTAATTAAAAAGTTAACTGACACAAATATTCAAATGAGTACATTACCCGCCCTTGTTGTACTTGGATAAGAAGATCTTTGACCTTGTCATCCACGTGTTCAACCTGCGGCAAGAAATAGACTTTTCTAAACTAATCGGTAAATCATGAAGACATTCTCCGCAGAGTGCACAAATCATGGTATATTTCTACTACACGCAAATGCACCTAAAGTAAAGTACTGAAAATCTGAAAACAGAAATGCAGAAGAGAAATAATGAAAATAAACACGGACACACACTTTGCAACCCAGAGCATATGTACTAGCACAAGATGGATGCGAAATTGAGAGAAGAAAATGGGTTCGATGCCGAATTTCCTGATGAAGTTCACTAAACGGCCTCGGGACCTCAACTCAGATAAAGTGAGACCTATACCATCTAATTCATAACCTAGTCGAAATGAAGAACAAAAACCCAATTTTCCTCACAAAATATCAATGTCCTAAAGACGAAAGTCAACGTACCTTTTTAGAAATCAATTGTTTTCCCATTTCCACCCATTTGTTCTTTGCAGCCTGGGCACAAGCTATCTTGAAGAGTGAAGGATCCAGTTTTTTCTACAACCAGAAAAAAAAAAATTATACAACACGAATAAATTTACAGAAAGGAGAATCAACAGACTTAACAATAACCTGAAGATCTTCTTTAGAGATGCCCTCTGGGGGAATGGCCAGAAAGAGTTGAACTTCAGGTGACCCCGTAGTAGCATAGGTTTTGCCCTCATCAGTTAGCACCCATGTCTCTCTCTTAATGTCTTCCGCATCTACGTATCTGAAACCGTGGAGGCTCTTAATCACGTTCACGATCTCGTTATGGTCAATGCTGCGTTCAGCTGCGAACTCACCCGAGTCTCTAATCTCCTCGTTCTTCTCCAGGAATCCCAGAACTGCTTCTTCCGCCATTCTCACACTCTTGCTTCGCCGCACACAACACCATACCGCGTTAGATAGGTTTCTTAGCCCGCTTGTTTTGGGCTGCCTAACTCGGGTTGGGCCGGCCCAACAAGTTAAAAAAAAAAACAGTTAAGTGAATGAGAGATTGTAGGGTTTTAGTACTACTTTCAGTTTCGCAACGGGGTTCTAGCATAATGGCTTCCGCGGTGAGGGTCGCTTCAAGATCCTTGGTTAATCGATCTAGAAGCTTCGTCCAGAGCTCAACGACGCCGTTTGTCTTCTCTCCGTCTTCCTTAGCACGCATTCCTCGTGCTTCAAGGTACAACACGCTTCAATTCAACTTCTACTCTTATCGATCTGCATTGCGTTTTGCGGTTGAGATTATGGATGGATTTCGCGTTTGATAGGGTTTTATCGGTTGTGAGAAACGTTGAGTCGTTGATGCCTCTACACAGTGCTATCGCGAATGCTAGGCTCACGTCCAACATCGCCTTCGATTCCACCTGCTGGAGCTCGCTTTCTCGAGGTGCTACTTCTATGCTACTACTTCTTAAGTACACTAAGCGTTTGTTTACTCGTGATTGAATCGATAATGGTAGAATAAGTGTTTTATTATCTGTTTTGCACAATGGTTGTAATTAACAGCGATCTTTTGGGTGATAATATGTTCTAGAATCACACGCGTCCATTAGGGTATGTTTTGTACAGATTCAGAATCTAATCGGAAATTATGAAGGAGAATATAGTTGAAAGTAATGATTGTAATTCTTAAAAAAAAAATGTGTGGGAAAACGAAATTAAATCTCATTGCATGGACTTTGGAATTACATTTTTGTTTGTTTGCTGCCGATGTGATAGTGTTTTGAAAATGGGAGATTGGATCAAAATTCATGAGTCATGACTAGTTTGAAAGTTAGGAAATAGTTACAGTTATGCTCTACTGAATATAGTATCTCTTAGTTTTTTTTTTAGAGGGAGAGCATTTGTGTTGTTGGTAACATGGCATTTCAAAAGATCGTGAGTGTTTCTGAATTAAAGATTACCATCCTTGGTAGAAAAATAAGGACAATTCAAAACATTTGTGGTATTAATATAAGGACAATAAGAAGTTCTTAGTTATCAGAGTATTGAAAGTTTCCTTTATTCATTGAAATCATAAATAGGTACAAAATTGTAGATGAGTTGACATGCTGGTGTATTAATATTTTTTTAGCAAATACGTCTGTAGTGGTAGTATCACTGCCAGATGGGTGTCCAGTGTGGTAATTACCTCTGTCTTCTTTGTGTACATCCTGACAACTTTTTTTACTTTGTTGCATTAGGACTTGAAAAAACATTGTGACAGGCCAGCTGGATCCATTCAAGATGAAAGAAAAAATGAAAAAGAGAGAATCATAAGTTTTCTTTCTGTCACACCCTAGGATGGGAAAAGAACTTCAAACATTTAATGTTCTGCTAATTGTATTGTAATTCTCTCTTACTGCAGATTTGTATAATTGAATTTTGTCATTGCCCTAAAATAGATGGCCATCATGCTCATAATTACCACTGTCCCCAAAATTTTCTTGAATGATTTTGGAAGGATTAACAATATGATGCAAGCTTCTTTAGGGATGTCAAAATGTTGTTTCAGTTTCAGGTATATCTTTAGGGATCAAAGAGTGTATTTAATCATTTACTCTAGTTAATGTTGGTCTCTAGAAAAGCATCATAATCCGTGCCAATTATTTTCTCTCATAGTAATGGTATAATGACATTGTATTTAACCAACAATTTAGCCCACAATGAGAAGTGAAACTAATTTGAGAGCAGATAATTGTCTTGTAATTAATTTGAGAATGCTTATATGTTAATAAATAAAATATATTGTGATCTCATTATAATTGTAACATTAAATTTAAATTTTGATGTTAAAACGTGCCATGGTCATTTTGTCTCAGTTAGATTTTTCCGTCCTTATTTTTCCCTGTTGAAACTTCTTTCTTCTTGTCTGCTGAGAGAAAATGAAAATTCCTTGAAACTTAATTCCTTGGTTTTACACCCTCCTGCTGATTGTAATCCATTTCGTTGATTTGTCCTAGACTTTGCAGTTCCTCGGTGACAGACTAAAAGGATTCAATCATGTCAAATTCTAGTTGGATTGCCTTAGAGTTAATGTTGGTTTCATAACTTACTCCTGATCCAATTCCTTTATGGCTGTCACATGACTTGGGTTCCCATCATACCTTGGAGCATCACATTCCAGTTTGAAAAACAATATTATTCCTTTAATATTGTTAACCGCCTACTCGAATTTGCTGAATGATCTTTAACGTCTTATTCGAATTATGCTTTATAAAAAATGCCCAACAATTTTTTGCCAATCCCATTGGTCCAGGAAACATTATCTGTAACGTTGTATAAATCTGGTATTTTTTTTTAAGACTTAATTTTTATATATATGTATATCATCTGGTTGGCCTAGAATTTTTAGCAGTTCCGGATGATTTTAATTTTTCGTTATATTTAGCATCCTGCTAGACTTTGAGTCATGCTTTTATTCTCCCTCCTTTTTTTTTTTCAACCTTTTGATCCTTAAATGGGCATGCAGGATGGGGGAGATAATATTATATATATGGTACGGTCGAACTTTCCCAGATGCGCATACTCACCAAGTTCTTACGGCTTGGATGAGGTTCTTAACCAAGGTTTTGTTTATTGGATAATTTATCTTTGTGGTGGTATTTCAGTTAGGTCAGAGATTAATTCACCATTTGATTTCTCATTTTTATAAGTAGGTATTATACTCACTTTTTCACAATTGAAGGAGGATTGAGATGTTTTCAAGAGATTAAAAGCAAATTTTTTATTCTAAAAAATTAATTTATAAGAATTTTGGATAAATTAAACAGTCTAATTACCGTCCAGATTTGAATTTTTTAACGAGGGATTAGGTGAGAAACATAGAGGCCATCAGAATTATCATCCAGAAGTACTTGATGTCAACAACTTCCATTCCGAACCTAAAAAAATTGAAGACCAAGGTGCCTCCCTTTATTGGCTATCATTTAACCCAATCAGTACTTCATGTAAAGTGTCACACATGTCATGATTAAGCTTATAATGAAAATCTTACACATGTACTCGCACATAGCATTAATTATTATTAAAAATTTAATTGGTGTAGATTGTGGATTTTTTTTCTAAATAATATTAGAAAAATATTTAATTATCTAAATAAACTTCCACTCACTTTATTTATAGAGAATCGAATGAGAATGTGTTACATGATACAAGAATGCAGTCAAAATTCGGACGGATACCTTGTGTTTTGATTTTTTTTTCTACATCAGCTTATATATATTACATGTATATGTATTTATATAAATGTAAATTTCTATATTTATAGTCATATATTTCTTTATTTAATTAATATATATTTGTGGATATTTATATTTATGATATAAAAATTATTAAAAGATTATTGATTAAAGGTACATAATTGAAACAATTCATGTTAATATAAAATTAAACTAAATATTGATTAAAGGTACATAATTAAAACAATTCATGTTAATATAAAATTAAACTAAATTAGAAATAATATAAGATAAATGGTAATTAAATAATTATCTTGTAAATTATCACAAAGTAAATATGGACTTTATTATCCCGTGTTTGTCAAAGAATGTACTATTTTCTAAGTTACAAATTATTTTATTAGGTGTTACCCTTCGATATCAAAGAAGTATCATTTTGATCAATATCACCAAAACTTTTTTCCATTAAGAAAGGAATGTCGATGCAAAAATTGAAGAAGGTCGTTGATGTCCTATACAAAGGACCTCATGAAAATGTGACATCGATTCACTTTTGTTACCTATTGAGAATCAATGTAGGAGTATGCAAGTATGAAGCTAATTGATGATGATGACATTTAACCCAGACACTGATCTCATAGGACCAATCTCAGTTTTTGAACCAACCTATCCATTCGTACAACCCATCGATGGAAGAACACGTCATAGTAGGTCTTTCATTTGAAACTGTTGACTCTTTTAGCGATGTGAAAATGACATCCTCGCCAGTGGCGGATCTTCTTGGGAACTGAGGGGGGTCGTGGTCCCCCCAAAGTTTTGTAACTCCTATGTAATTTATGATTTTGGCCCCCAAACTTAATGAACATTTAATATATTTACAATTTTATCCTCTTAGTCCCTCCTCAATTTTGTAACTCTCATATAATTTATGATTTTGTCCTCCTCAAACTTAATGATCATTTAATATATTTAATTATATATTTATAATTTTATCTTTTCACCCTTTCATCTTCTTTTTTCCTTTTATATTTATTTATTATTTGTTAATAATATATTATTTGGCCCCCTAAGATCAATGGTAAAGATCCGCCACTGATTCTCGTTGATAGTGCGGATGATGAAGAATCCGAACTAGAACTTACCATCAAACCTACCTAGCTCACTTAGAACTCACCTGAACAATTTATCCAATTTCACTCTACCATGAATGACATTGATCTTGAATTTGCTCATGTTCTTAACCAAAAAACATTTGTATATCCTCTAAGCCATTGTTTGTTGGTTAACCCTTTAACAAGAAACAAGATGTCATAGACGCAATAAACAAGTTCCACATCATGCTCCATTGCACATTTAGGGTGCAAATTTTAAGTCAATCTAGATTTGTAATGTAGTATGCATCTACTGTGATTGGAGGTGTAGAGCAATATTGACAAATAATGAAGTTGGAAGACAACCACATTTATGTGTCTCCATTAGCCTCCTAATATCAAGTTTACACAAGGATACACAATCACTTATTGAAAGACATGATTAGGGAAACAATTAGCTATCAAAAAAAATTACGATAATTGGTTGGAGTCGTACAAGAAGTTGTCATATCTTCTGAAGGCTATGCAAGTATATGTTCTTGTATTTATATGGAAGATGAACACACGTAGAACGTATCAAGGACATCAATTAGTTGAGGATCATGTCTTCTTCAAAAGGGTCATCTGGTCCTTCAAACCTTGCATACATGGTTTTCAGTATTGCAAGCCATTAGTACAAGTGGATGAAACATTTTTAGATGAAAAATATAGAGGAACCTTATTGGTTACAGTAACACAAGATGGTTGTACCAACATTTTTCTGATCGTCTTCACTATAGTCAAGGGGAAACAATTAATGCTTGGTTCTTCTTTTTAAAGAACTTAAGGAGATACGTCACACCACAAGATGGACTATGCCTCATTTTTTACCGTCATGAGTCCATATGAAGTGTTTACTCAAGAGAGGACAGAGGATAACGGCGATACTAAAAACAATTTTATGCATGTATATTGTATTCGACACATTACACAAAATTTCATGAGAAGATTCAAGTAAAGTCCACTTAAGATGTTGTCAACATGGGTAACTTATGTTATTTTCTAAACTTATTTATTATTTTCATTGTTTTTTTAATTAACTCAAGTACCTAATAATTGATTTATTTCAATTGTTTTGTAAACAACATATGGAATGAGTGAACCCAAATTTGTCTACTATTACAACATAGTAAGAAATGAAGATATGGACGCAACAAAATGGTTGGACGAAATCTCAAGGGAAATGTGGACACTAACTTGGAACAACAGTCGATGTTAAGGATACATGATTACCAACTTAGCAGAGTCAATTAATTCTATCCTAAAAAAAATAAGGAACTGTCATATTTCCTCCTTGGTGAAAACAACTGATATACGTTGCAATAAGTTCTTCATCGAAAGAGGTAGAGAAGTGACGATCATGATTGTTGAACACATATATACTGAAATGGTAGTCAAGGCTTTGAACGATGCACATTCAAAGACAAACATTCATTGAGTGATTTAGTTTGATCGAATAAGTATTGGTAGAGGAAACCTTCAATCTAAGAGAAGTCAGACCAATAAACCGACTTGTAATTAGGTTATACGAATCATGATGTGATTATAGTAAATTTCAGAAAATTCTATTTACGGTGTTCGCACGTAATAACTGCTTACAAATACGCACATTATGATTTTACCAAATCATGTTTATACTTTATAACACAAGTTAGTAAAGTCTATTTAGAGAATTAAAAAATGAAAATTAGTGGTCATCTTATATGGGGCCAAGTTTGAGCCCAAATTCAGAAATGAAAAGAATTGTATAAAGTCGTCCAAAGTCAAATCAAATAAAAACAAAAATGAACATCACGAAAAGTTAATATTATCCCAAATTTTATTCGTTTTGCAATACCGCTGGTCACACCAAAAAAACATATTCCAACATTACTCGTCCAAAAAATGAATATATTCCTTGTATCATGTATTATTTCATTATGTTTCATTTTAATAAATAAATTTTCAATTTTATATTATTTCTTTATAATTCTAATATTATCATAATATTACTTAAACATAACAAATAATATATTTTAATATATTTATATAAATATACAAATATAAAAATATTAACATATGTTAATATATAATTATATAAACATCTAAATATATCAATATCTAATTATATAAATATATACTTAGCAAATCATATATATATATATATATATATATATATATATATATATATATAAATAAGTGGTGCAGAAAAAAAAAAAAACGCTGTTTAAAATTCAGTTCCCGAACAAATTCTGACTTAGATTTCTGCTTCCCATATATTTTCATTTCAAATTCGATTATTCGGAAATGGAATTTTTACATGATCTATTTAGATAAATTAAGTTGAACAAAAATCTATTTGGATAATTAATTATTTTTTTATTATTATTTGAAAGAAAAAAAAATTCCTAGACTATGATTCATTTCTTGATTATATTTTGAATGAGAATAATATATTAAAAAAGTAATGATAGGCGAAACATTAAAAATTATTTACACTTTTAGCGTTATTATAAATATTACGAACTTTTTATTGTTATCTTCAAATCGGTTTGAACAAAAATCAATATTCTCAAATTCTTTTCAGAACTTGTTATACATAATATTTAATATATATGTTATTTTAGTTTTAACATGAATTTTATTGTTGAATTAATAGTGTTAACATGTAATTATTTTAGTATATTGACCCGTGACATTATTTAAATTAATTGTCAAACATTATTAAGTTGAAGTAAAAAAGTAAATATATGTATTACATATTAGATATAAACATATTAATTTATTAAATATATTAATTTAAGTCAATTTTAAGGGTTAATTTTGAAATTTAGGAAACATAAAAAATAAATAGAGAAAATTATGAATAACAATAATTTTTGTTTAATTATAAGAAATAACTTTGAAAAAAACAAAAATATTTATAATTTCAACCTTTTTATTTTCTTTGCTATCATGAAACATTTAATTAGTCATTCATGACATATATTTGTTAAGGCAAAGTAATTTGAGACGTATAATTAACTCTAGCCAAGGAAAATCTTCATAACTTTATTTTCGCAAAAGGCTAGCTTTAGTGTACTACTTTATTTATTTGTGGAACTTTTTAATTACTTTTGAAAATGATGCGGGTGTAATTGATTTCCTTGATATTTACTTTTTGAAAATGTAAATTATGAAATTGGACACTTGTAATAAGCGTATTTGGACAGTCTTTGACCTCTTTAATAAAAAATAAAAATAAAAGGAAAGTGTGTTTGTTTGTTCTGTTTGTAATTCTAACATTGCAAGGTATCCATCCAATGAGAGGGAGAGCGAACCTATGAAACACACCACAGATCACATTTTACGTCCTTTTCAATTCACATACACACACAAACCCTTAAAACTTCATTCAACACATTCTCTCTCTTCGCCCTCCCTCCTTCCCACTCTGTTTTTATGAATTTCCCGTGGATAAGATCTTGAGAATATCAGATACAGAGGGACCCCACTTCCCATTAAAATAACAATATCCACACTTCTCAATACCAAAAAGTATGAAATCTCGAATCTTCCCTTATTTTGCTCTAATCTCATTTCATCCTGTCATGTGGAACCAAAACAAGAAAAATCCTCCTTTGTTTTGAGGACTTGGGTTTGGTCTCCCAGCTCGTACAGATCCTCTTCTCTTCTCCTTGCGAGCGTGGCTGTCAGCGATTCTGGGTGGAGCCAATAAGCTTTCTTTTGTTTGCTCCATTACCAATTCCTTTCTTTTTCTTTTGGGCAAAGTCAAAAACACAATATATTTGCGGTGAGTGCGCGGTGGTGGTTGGGCGTTAAATAATGGGTTTCCGGTTTTGTGATGTATTTGCCTCAATGCGTGGTTCCTGCTAGTGATACTTTTGTCGTGTTTCTCTGTCGTCTTTTGCCGGCTTTTCTGTCATATTCTGTAGAGGAGATTCATTTCCTTTGTAATTTTTTTTTGCTTGTGTGTGTGATCCGTTTATTCTTCTTCGTCTCACTCTCCGTGTGGTAAACACTTCAAATTTCTTGTTTTCCTTCGGGAAATTGGTGGATTGCCTTCGGTATGGTATAATTCACTGTTCAATTAAAATGGGTATCAATGGGATTACAGAGACACTGCTCTCTGCAGATTTGGCCACCGATTCTTTTATATATCTGAGGAGTTTCTAGGTTATCTCCTTCACTTCATCTTATCCTCTTTCTGTATATTCTATCTTCAGTTTCGGACCTATACTATTCATTTTATTATTTTAGTTTCTTCTATTCATCTACTATGTCGGTTTCCTGAATCCATATCTTTCTACTGTTATCTTATCTGATTGGGTGTGGATTGTTGTCATCTTCTCTAACTTCCTCATCTGGGTTCTGCGTCTTGTGTTAAGTGGAACTAGGCTTGTTTCGTTTTAGTATTTGTTTGCTAATTTTATACTTGATTATTCATTTATTATTTCTTTTACTTTTTCAATCACAAATCTAGATGAGCCATAAGGGGTGGGGGTTATGTCCTTTATTTTAGATTTAATCCCCTTTCCCTTTGTCATGCTGATGTATAAATGGTTGTCTTTTTTGTCCTCCTAATGTCCAGATTTTCTTCTGTGAATGGAACTGAACTGAATTTACTTCGTTGCTGCTGGCGTCTATGCTTCCTGGTTAACTCATTTCCAGTGGATTAGTCTGGACACAAGTTATTGGTCCAATTGAAATGTAAGAATTTGTGTGAGGAGGAGAATTAGACTGTCTGGTTATGGAGAATTCTTATAAGGCTAACGGAATTAGATCAACTGACAATGGATACTCTACTGCAAGGCACTCTTATCAACCCTCCTTGAAGGTGTCATTACCTTGGCTGGACATAAGGGTATTTTATGTAAGAGTGTGCAAGTGTGAGCTTGAAGATTCCACTCCTGGGTTTCTTACATTGAATCATGTTCCTTTGAATCCGGACACTCTTCTTGAAGTTAATGGTGTTCGAACAAGTATATATTCTGATGGGATGTCAACCCTTCTCAAAAGAGACAGGGTAGATAGAAAATCGGAAGAAGTGACCTTTGTAAGCACCGATAGCATAAGGATGAGTGGTAGTGTGAAGTTTGAGGTGTTTGATAGAGATGTTCTGCTGCTTTCTGGTGTTTTAGAATTATGTAATACCAATGGTGCTGTTAGGGAATCAAATTATAGTGGACAGAGGTGGAGCATGAAATGTGAGTCATACATAATTCCAGACACTAGCTTCTTTAAGGGGAAGCAATTGCTATTACCAGACTCAAGTCTCCCAACGATTGAGGTCTACATTGCAGGCTCCTTCTTGGGTACTCCAATTATCCTAACAAAAACCTTGCAGCTCTCTCAGAAAAAGCATGCAAAGAAGGGGGTGTTGGATGCAATTCCAGAGCATGAGGCGGGTGAAAATGGGAAACATCCTTCTTCAGCACTTGCTTTGCAGGTAATTAGTGCTTGTTCAGTTATTTTTTTGCCGTGCGTCTTATATTTTCCTCTTTGTCTATGCCAGTTCATCAGCCAAGTTAACTTTAGACATGTTTTTGCCTTGGCTACCTTTGGTTTTACTGCCTTAATACACCTGTGTTCAATCATTTTAACGTTTAGATTTTTTAACAGATATAAGCATTTTTTATGTGATGGATTTCAGGACCTCTGAGCCTAGGAGATGGGACATACACAACATAATTCTGATACAAGTCTGACGTTTTACTTTCCTTCTTAAAATTATTTTGGTCACTTATGTATTGTTTTTTATGGATAGCTGTCAAGAAAAGGACGTCATTCATGTCTAGTTCTTAATTTAAGTTTGGTCCCCGCTTGAATACATGCAATCAGCAGTACTTATAAGTGTTGAATTTTATCCCCTGACAAAGATGAAAATTGATAGCCAAACCAATTCGAATATGAAGCAGATCCATTTTCTTTTCACAATTTAAATACCATCCTTCCTTATATTTTCATGCCAATCATGCAGGCCCCAGATTACCTTCGTGACAAACATGAAGATGAAGATTATAGCAACCTCTACCCAGGAACAACATATGCTGATGGTGAAGATGGAGAACTTTCATGGTTCAATGCTGGTGTTAGGGTCGGTGTTGGTATTGGACTTAGTGTTTGTCTTGGCATTGGCATTGGAGTTGGCCTGCTTGTTAAAACCTACCAAGGCACCACTAGCCACTTTAGAAGACGGTTGTTCTAATTGATGCTTCTATTTTAAAGCTTAATCCTCTACTTTTTGTCCATCTCCCTCGTAATCCAATCCAAAGATAGCTAACCTTTTTTTTTTGTCCATATCTCTCTTGATCCAAAGACAACAGGTTAACTGTCGTGTCCAACTGAGTGGAGTATTTTTTTTTTTTCTTGAGCTGCTGTGTGTAATATAGTTCATTTGTAGTGCCATTCTGTGCCAGTTATATGATCATAATTAAAGCAGGAAGAAGTTTTCAACTAGTTTCTCTATTTATGAAGGTGGTGATAACATGCTTTGGCTTAGAAGAGAATTAGATTAGTTTTGATTTCCCTAATGTTTGTAATAATCCTCCTAAAACAAAGTAATGAGAAATTGAAGCCATAATGACATGTTAGACTCTAGCTGGTGGTGCAGAGGAGGGTTGTGTTCCACACCTACAATTAAAACTGTATGTGACCAGTTAGTTGTGTTCCTGGGTGAAAGATGTGAATGAAATTTCTGGTAAAAACAAGTAGTTGTAACCCCATAAAGGGCTTCGGCAGAGCCACAAAGAAATGATTTAGATATTTATGTTGATGAACCTTTATAGTCAAGAATGGTCATCATTGGTTCAGTGGTAGCAATCTTCATGGAACACTGTTCCAAACTGATATACTAATATACTATTAATGTACTACCTTATAACTATACTTACTACCTTTATAGTAGGTATGCTTAGCTAGTTTGATCTCCCTTGAATTAAATTTTTTACTCCATCCCTTCTAGTATACTACTGTTATAACTTAAATTTTAATAATTATATCTTTTACATTTTTTTTTTATGTATATGATATGATATTTTTTGTTTTCTAATTTGATGGTCGTACCCTCCTATTAACGTTTGAACTTGGTCTTATGAGACTGATAGTATGGGCAGAGCGGATCAAGGATATATATATTACTTTTAAAAAATTAAATAAAATTTATTTTATACATATAAAAATTATTTTTTATTCTTTTACATAATTTTTTACTTATACCTTTTTTTTCTTTCCTTCTATCTTTATATATTTTAATGTTTTTTTTTTCAATTTTTCCTATTAAATATTTATTTGTTTTCACATTTTTATCTTTTCTTTATCATCTTTTCACTTTCATATTTTGTTTTTTCTTGGTTTCATCTTACGTAAAAAAAATTGTGTTTTTTTTTAATTTTAATTTTTTTACTATTTCATCTTCATAATATAAACATTGTAATTTTTTGTTATTTAATTACTTTTTTCTTTTATTCACATTAAAGATATAACATAATTAGTTAAAAATAAATGAGATATTTTACAATAATTTTCATCAAGTAAAGAAAGAGTAAACAAATTATTTTATTTATTATTTTTGTTTATTATTAGAACAAATTAATATGTGTAGTGTAAATATTGATATATATTTTTTATAAATTAATTAGTTGTTTAATGTTTTATAATATTTTATTTTAATGTTAAAATGTAAAATAAAAAATCATGTTGAATTTAAAAAAAAATAGACTATATTTAAAAATAAGGAATAAATGATGAAATAAAATTTATTTTTTAAAAATTTAATTAATAATATTAAACATGCTATGCATGTGACTTTATATAATAATTAAATTTTATATGTTGATTCTTTTATTTAAAATTCTTAGTCTTGTTTTTAGATTTGAGGTTAGATTAAAATTGATAATCATATTTTGATGACGATTTTAATAGGGTTGAAAATAATTTCGTTTAAAAAGAATATAGAGACATATATAAAAGATATTTTGACATTTAAGTTAATTTTTTAATAAAATAATAATATATTTGATAAGGTAAAATTTATTCTTTTATTGAATCTCTTTATATATAATAAAAAAATAATAATTCGAAAATAAATCCTCTTTTGATAAACATATTGGTTCTGCTTAAGCTTCAACCTAAGAGAAAATCATCCATTTCGTTATCTTTTAATCCTCGCAAAAGGAAGATTGTTAGTTATGCTTTAATTTACCTTTTTCTGATACATGTTCTCTTATATTACTTAAAATTTATTTAAAATTGCAAAATCATAAGCGGAGTTCATTAGATAAAAAGTGAAATTCACATAATTGTCAAATTGATTTATATATATTGTAAAACAAAAATGGGATCCCTAACTTAATTAAAATATATTTAGGAATTAAAGTGGTAATACTTTAACAATTATTTAAATAGTTTTATTACTTGAAGGATGACTTGAGAAAAAGTAAAATTGGAAGATGAAATTAGTAAATATCGGCATGTTTACATTTTTAGTAATTTTATATTAAGTACCTTTATTCTTTCTGCAATACATATTAGGTTGATGACCTAATTTTATGTTAATAAAAAAATATTCTGTTTTGCTAAGCTATAAAATTAATGGAGGAGTACTATGTACTAAAGAATGCTGGACTAAATATAACAAGTGAATCAAGCACTATATTTTCTTTATTTAGTTCGTATAGTTTTAAGATAGAGGGTCAAATGTACTTATGAATAGACTATTTTATCTCTTATTTGATGAAATAAAAATAGAAAGAAAAAGTAGAAGAAGAACCTTAATGTCTTTCTTATTTTTACCCTCTCGATTTGCTGACATGCTGCTTCAAACAACAATTCAAACGTTATCGTACCGGTTGAGTTTATGACTGAAGTTTCATGAATAAAACGCACAGCTTCACTGAACTCTCGATTTATAATAATTATAACAAATATATAAAATTACGGAAATTAAATTAAAATAAAATTAAAAAATAGTCCTGATTCCATAATCTGTTAAATTTGTCATATTTTAATTGGATTTTGAATTGGGGAAAAGTTTTATTAGCAACGAGTCATGGCAAATTGGTGTCCTGATTTTGAGGAAAAAATTCGGCGTCACCGTTTCACGCCCAGGAAATACATGCAACAGGGAACATTATAACTAAAATCAGGCAATCCAAGGAAACCACGATTAACCATTGGCATGAGGACAAGGTCTATGTAGTTGGGGTGTGTGGTTTATCCTAGAAGACAAGACAGTTTAGTTTGCATTTTGGATTTATATGTACAATGTTAATGTTAAGTTGAAGTTTGTGAACATAGTATTTACATATGCACAGTATTGGACAACAAGCGAAGCAAGAAACTCATTGATCAAAGAGAGAATCTGGTTTGGGGGCTCGGGCTGCACGGCGGAACCAGGTGTTGAATGCAGTGACCAAATGAGGACAGTCTTCAACATTTCGGGTTGAAAAGCTGAGGCACTGTTGCAGCAATTCTTGAGCATCTGACATGGGCAATGTGGAGATGATACGCAAGAATGTTTCTTCCAGTTCCAGATACAGCGATTTATTGCTCGGTGATATTGGCGAAACATTATCTTTGCATACAACCAAAACGGGTAGCCAATCTTTTACCAGCTTTTTTCTCACCTGAACACACCAAACAAATAAGCAGCAATCGAATCAGAACATCTAATATTGCAAAAATATCTGGGGAAAAGGCATACAGTGCAACCTTTTATTTAAAATAACAAAGGCATACAGTGCAGCGGCATTTGGACAAAACTTAATTACAGTTCCTTGAGAACTTTCACTACACAATAAAGGTTGACATTTAAGGTCAATGCTAGTTATCATGGTGAAACTCTAAAATGAAAACGCCAGCAAAATACGTAAAGAAATATACCCAAGGTTTGTACAGGATATTTTTAAAGCCTTCAGGTGAAACGTGACACAGTGAAATGTAATAACGGGTTTAGAAAGAGAAGAATAAAACAGTAAATATTTGACTATTTTGCATTAATTGGCTATGCAAGTTACATGCTCAAGCCAAATGTTCATAATAAAATTAAAGAATGAAATGGTCCACTTAAAAAACCAATTCAACAGGCAAAAAATCGACAACTAGTTACTCCTAACATTCAAATCATTTTTACCCCTCTTGGCATTGCAATTAGCAAGTTAGATGACCAGATGCTTCAACCATCAAGAGGTGTTGAATCCCTTTAGAACAACTCAGGGGAGCACATTTCGGGGGCCTTCAATACAATATTTTTACCAATCATAAAAAAATTCAATGACCAGCATTTCCTACCCAGATATGCCGAACTTAGCATCATGCTGTTGCAAGGGAGGAGAGGAAATGAATTCATGATACCAGACACAAACATAGCACAATGTCCCCAATCCCACATCCTCCTCAACTCATGAATTCGACCTCTGAGTTTCAACAAGAATAAACAGCATAACATAACAATTTGAGATAAAAATAGTTGAAAAAACAAAGTTGACCTGCCCTTATTTCTGCACCTAAGCAACATGTTTGGGTCAGATTCCACACACCACAACATCAACAATTTTTCATCTAAGGCTAAAGTATGTTTGAGTACACAGCTTAATCAAAATCTTAATAATGAACTCGTCAACAAATAAAAGCGTACACTAAACATTACCTGTCTAGATGCGAGAATAGTGCCAGCAGAGACAGCATTGGCGAGCCGACAGGTACATCTCAGAATAACAGCAGGAAGGCCAGGCACACTGTTCCTCCAAGCATCATCACGAAACGCCCTCTGCAAATCGCCGGTGAAACCAGCTTGCTCACTCCATTCCCTCACAGCCACATCCGCAACCCTAAGCTCAATCATCCGCTCTACAAGCCACAGAAGATGCTTACCATTCGTCGAAGCCTTATGCAGATTAAGCTTCTGAATGGCCTCCGTCTCCTTGTGATCCCCTCTGAAGACCGGACTCGAATAATCCTCCAAAGACTCCTTCACCGTGTTCAAGCTTCTCGCAAACGCCTTCTCCAACACTCTCTTCGCTGTCTCCCTCGAAGATAAATCCCTTAGTATCTTCCCTACGAACGCCTTCACGAACGCCGTGTTGCCGTAACTGTTCATCGCCGACGAAATCAGTCCCTCCAGCATCGCTTCGCACGAGTCCTCTCTTGACGGGGAAACCCTAGCCACGAGCTCCTTCGATTCTTCCTCACTCAGGAACGGAATTAATCTCACCACTCGCTTCTCTTCTTCTTCCGTCCAAGGCACGGCCTCCAGGAAAACCACGCACCAACGCACGCACTCCTCGAAGAGAAGTTCCAGCGCCACCGGCAGCAGATCCAGTGCCGTTGACGCACTGCCCACCGCGGCGGCGAAGTCATTCGTGTAGAGAAGCTCCAGGACGGTGAGATGCGATTGGATCGAGCCGGCGGCTGGCGAAACGCCGAGTTTGAGGTGGAATAGATCGTCGTCGGAGGGGGACGCGTGATCCTTCACTTGGACGTGGCCGATCCAACGGTCGGATAGGAGCGCGGAGAAGTATTTGGAGCGGCGGAGGATGTCGGAGTGGAGGTAGACGTGGAGGTCGGAGTTAGAAACGGATTCAGCGGTGGCGCTGGCGGTTGCGGTGGATTGGAGCGGCGAGGGAGAGTCGATGAAGAGGCGGAGGACGACGTCCGCGGTGATTACGTCGTTGAAATGGAGAGCTTCAACCGCTGAGAAAGAGGTACGATCGTCGGCCATGGGCGAGGGACGGTCATCCGCCACGGGAGAAGGACAGTGGAGGTTTTGCGAGATTTCAGTTAGGGTTACGTCGGAGACGGATGAGATAGTGCCAACAGTAGAGGAGGAACGGCGGGCGGCGGTGGTTCGTTGCCGCTTCTTAGGAACTCCGGCGCTGGGAATCATCGGAATGGATTAGAACGAAATGAAGGAGAAGATTTTTAGATTTTTATTTTATTTTAATCTTTTGGGTGTATTGGAGGAAAAGGAAGGTAATGGATTACGATTGAGTTGGAGAGTGGTGGGGACGGAGGTGAGAAGCGTTTCTTTCTTCAACTTTTACCCATTTTATCATTCTTCTAAAAATGAATTTTTCTTTTTTCTTTTCTTGCTTGACAATGGATATCGTTTCAACTTTTCGTTTTGGATATTTTTTAATAATAACTATAATTTTAGCTTCTTTTGTATGTGAATCAACCTAACATATCATTGTCCTAAAATATTACATATCAACAAGTTTTTTTATTAATAATTGTCTATCATAAATAATTAAATGTCACTTTAAATTCAAAATAATAAATATTAATTTTATTATTAATAAATAATAAGAATAAAAAAAAGGTTTCTAGGAGCACCTATTGAATTCTTTATCAAAGAAAGAAATCTTATCCAACTTGTTGTGTACTGATTGAGAGCATTAAGATATAAAATAATGGAACAACCACGTTATGCCACGTCTCAAATCTAGACAAGGATGGTAGATAGTCTAAATAGTGGGGTCCCTTCTTTGTTCTCATCTTCTTTTTCTTGTCAACCTAATCGGTGTTTCAAGAAATACATGGGAACACATTAACATGACAAGTGCGAATAGCAACATAGATATTATACTCTTCTTGGGCCTTCTACCATCGATCCCCTACACAATGGGCTTAACAAACCTAACAAGGCTTCTTCGCTCTGGAGACACCAGCCCAACGCTCTGTACAGAAGATGGAATTGCTCGTTACATACACCTAAAACACTTAATGTACCCCTCAAAGAACATTTCATATCAATGATTAATTTATCATCATCTAAGAAAAAACTATTATTCTTAGTTATGAAAATGACCAATAAACTTTAATATTCATCTTAGTTACCAACATTACCAAGCGAAAAGTGAAAAATACGAAATTTTAGTCATAAAAAAAATACTAATTTGAAAGGGGTCTGGGAAAAATATTCGAAATTTGAAAAATTAAATTCTTATTTATTTTGTTTTTTTATTAATAATTGTGTTTATTATTTATATAATAAATTTTTTGTCTTTTATTGTTTATTGTTTTAGCACGTATACCTCTATCATAATTAAATATAGCTATAGTCTTTATAAAACTAATAATTTTGACTTTAATTCTTATAAAAAAATCTTTTATCTCTCAAAAAGCTAAATTTTGGTTTGGTTTTTATTATAAGCACAACTGTACGATTAACAAAAATTGAAGTATCCATTCCAAATAACAATTATCAATCCAATTATAATTAGATTGAATTACGATTTTATAAGTTCTGAATGTTATAAATCCAGCATAGCTAAACTATATAATAAATATAAAATATAAATATTTATCTAATAATTTTATTATATGTGTTGCGTTATAAGTATGGTTCTTGTCTTATAAACATTAAGAAACGGTAAAAATAATAATTTTATACTTTAAAGAGATTAAAATAAAAGAAATATATATTTTATAAGACTAGAGTTATTGATTAAAATACCAAAAATATATACAGATCAAAATTTAAAAAACATTTTATAAATACTAAAAACATACTTGAATATTGCTTTTATATAATAATAAATAAATAAAAAACACACTTTGAACTCATACTTTGTGATTATTACTCAACAAAAAAAAAAAGTTATATTTCATTCTGACATTGTGAAAAAACTTGATGAAAATCTACCATCACAATCTCCTTTGCCGGAAAATAAAAATCAATTTGAAAATTTGACTTCGTATCAAACACTTGTTGAAAGTTATTTTTCTATAACAAATGTATCTCCAATTTGTATGTAAACTTATTATTGTCTGTCCAGAGATGGTTGCATAATATATATATATATATATATATATATATATATATATATATATATATATATATATATATATATATATGTTAATCTCTTTTTAACTGTGAAAAGCTTTTATCCTTTTTTCAAGTTTTTTCTATGATTGAAATTTCCAGTTTGTACTTGATTTTATAAATCCTGTCTAATGTTGTGCAATGTAATTATTAAGATCTTTGCAAGATATTGTGTGGCGACAAAAACATAGAAGGAAATGATTGGACATAGCATGATAACGAGGTTGCAAGTGTTATCGTTTCTTTCGAACCATAAGCATTAAGGTTTTGTTTTCCTTCTCCCGAAACTAACTTAATTGTTAAGAAAAAAAATGAAACACATGCACAATAAAACGAGAAATCCTTATTTTTCAATATTTATTCTATTATCTTAGGTATCATATCCATTAAAAATATTATAATATATAGTGTAATTTTTATTTTATTAAGTTAATTTTATAAAATTGAGTTATAATCCCACTATTTTAAATATAAAAAAAATGTTCATCAATAGAATGAGTGTGATGAAAAAAATTATCTTTGATATAAAGAAATACATTGAGAAATTCTACATCAACTAATGTTTTTAATAATGAATGGTTGAATAATTTTACTGTCTAATTTTTCAACATGCCACTTTTGTAAGATAAATCATTTTATCACTTGTGGATTTTTTTATTTAGACTATCAAATTAAAACATAGAGTATTTGCAAAGGAAGTTGTTAATAAGAATCACTTGGAAATAAAAATAAAAGTTTTATTGTGAATATTTACTTAAAATTAGAAAAAAGTTATTTATATAAGTAACTTAGAGCATTTCTAAAAAGAGTTGATACCAAAAGCTGCTTAAGAATAAAAGTAAATATTTTATTGTGGGTCTCATATCTGAATTGCTTTAAAGTGGAGAAAGTTGTTTAAAATTGGAAGAAAATTTTAACAAGTATTGCTTAAGAATAAAATTGAATATTTATCATGGGTCTCACAGTTGAGTTGCTTAAAACATGATTAGAGTTGTTTATCCAAACAACTTTATTTAATTTTAAGTAATTTTATCCATTTTTAAGTAACTCATATATAACCCACAATAAAATATTTATTTTTATTTCTAAGCAACTCTTGGTAGCAACTCCCATTAGAGATACTCTAAGTAACTTAAGCTGTGGGACCCATAATAAAATATTTAATTTTATTCTTAAGCAACTCTTGTTAAAAACTCTTTTTGGAGATGCTCTCATATATAAGACCCATAATAAAATATTTTATTTATTCATAAACAATTTTTGTTAAAAACTCCATATGGAGATGACCTTATCAAATTTGAGAGTATTTTTACTAAACTTGAAATATCTTTATGTTAATCAACGTTTCAGGCAAAATTTAATAAGATGAAGATATATATCAAATTTCCTTTATTCTTGATTTTCAATATTAGTTCAAACATTAAAGTGCGAAAATGTAAATGACAAAAAATATAGATGTGTGAGAAATGTCAAATTGTCAATAACTCCATTGAAATAGTATTTCCCATGTCCGCAACATCTTTTCAAAATATAAGTGTCTTGATACAATTTTTCACCCCCAATTACATTTATTTGATCCTATTTATACTTTATTTCGTGTAATCATAAGGAAAATAAAATAAAATACAAATAAAAACAATTTATTTCCTATTAACAATTTTTATCTCATTTTTTAGTAGTTATATTGTCACACGTAACAATTGTAACCGTTTCTCTTACATCATGAACTTCCTTTGTCACATTATTAAATTATAACCGTTTTTTCATACTTTTCAATTTTATAACTCATTTTTTATATTTCCCTTAATTTTTTTGATTTTTTAAGTCTTTAATTTATCATTTCTCTCAATTTTCTATTTGATCAATATATATCCTCAATTATCTTATTATTTTATTTTTCTTTTAATCACTATGAATCATCGATTGTCTGATTCTTTGATTTTCTCTAACCACCTCATCTTCTATTCGATTTCCCATTTGATCACTTATTTCTCACGATTTCTTTTTTTCTCGATTAACTCTTTGGTGTCTCAATTTTTATTTTTTGAACCCTCTTTATCTTTATCATTTCGATCTCAATTTTTATCATCTTTATCATCAATTATTGTCTTTAACTTCAATATTTTTTCCAACTCATTCTTTCCATATATTGATAAGTTTGTCAGTGACAAAATGCCCCCTAAGAGAATGTGAAACATATCTCGATAAGTGAATATTCTTTTAATACAAATTGAAATTCTCGAATTGATTTACTTAGCAACTTAAATCCATATCGAAGGAAACACCTTCTGCATCAATTTTCACTAATGTCCCTCATCCTAAGGTCTCACATATAATTCAAACTTGTTGATTACTTTTTTGTGTTTCAATTAATTTACTTAATTAACTTTCAATTTTACGAGCATGGGGATCAATGGCTTCAGCTGTAGACGTTTTCATTCATTCAACAATGTTTATCAATTCTAGCTCTGAAAGTCAAGAGGTACCCTTATCTTGTTGCAAATCCAATTTGAGAAAAAGTATCTATTATTTTCTTATATATATTCTCATTTCTATCATTTTGCTTACTCATACTATAATAACTTATTTTCTTCTCGGATAATTAATTTTTCCTGATAAAGATTGTAATTCTTTCTTATTTTTTGAACACTAGTTTTGATTACTATTTTTATTTTATTTTTATCAATTTTAATCCCTTTTTATGAACAATAAATCTTAAAAACTTTCCAATATTCACTCAAAAAGCATATTTTAAAGAATTCATTTTTAACTTATTAATTTTCATTCTTTCAAAGACAAGTTTAATTTATTGAGATGAGATTCTCTCAATTTAGATTTAATTACAATATCATCTAAGTATACCTGCATAAAATCTTTGATTAATTATGAATGTTTAAATTCATAGTTCTTTGATATGTTGCTCCAACATTTTTCAAACCAAAAGACATAACCAACCATTCATAAGTACCTAATGTTTTAAGGTATCAAAAAGTAGTTTTCGAGAAATTGTTTTTAGCAATAAAAATTTGATTATATCCGAAATATACATCTAAAAGATTTAACATTTCATTCTTTGTCACATCATTGATTGAAATTTCCGCAACAGTCATAGGATATTCATTTTTCAATGTTGTTTTATTTAAATCTCTAAAATCGATACAAATTTTTCTTTTTCTATTTTTCTTAATAACTGGAATAATATTAGAGATTTAATCGACATACTTGATTATTCTTATAAATTTGGCCTTCAACAATCTCTCAATTTCTTTTTATTTTTTTCTATAACTTTTGGTGTAAATTTTCGTGAAGCCTGTTAAGTTGGTTTATTTCCTTTTATTATAGTCAATCGATGGTCCACAATACTTCTATCCAATCCTGTTATTTCATCATACTCCCTTGCAAAACAATATTTATATCCTTTGAGCATATTCACAATCCCTCTTTCATTTTTGCACTTAACAACTTACTAACGTAAGTGAGTCTTCTCTCTTTTTCACTTTCTAAGTTGACTTCTTTCAAAAGATCTTGTGTTCTACTTTCTTATTACTCGATGCAATCAATTCTTTGAATCCTAAAGGTGAGTAATCATAAATGCAATCCAACTTAATATTACTACTTATTACATAAGTACTAACTACTATTGAAAAGAGTGACTTATGTAATTCATCTATAATCCTACTTATGATTTCTTGACTCTTTTTTTATCAACATAATTTTGTAATCAAGCCAAGAATTTCAAATAGAAATATTCACTCACTGTCTTTGCCCACTTTGAGGTTGACCTCAAATTTTATTTTGATTATTTCCTATTTAGAAGCCATTATTTTCTAAGTTCTCTCTTATAGAAATGACTAATGTATCCCTTATTCTAACCATTTATTCGACTAAACTTTGAAAATCATCAACTGTAGTTTGAATCAAGAGGTTCAAGATTGTAGTTATTTGTGGTGACAACATATTTACTATCTTGTGATTATAATAATCTATTTGTTGTCTTATCACTTCTAAAGAACAATTTGATATTTTAGTATTTATATTTTCAAAACCCATATTATTTCTTCTAAAGTCTCTATCAACCCCCGATCGAATTTGACTTTGATTAAGATCATCCATCCTACTAGAACTAGGAGTTGGCTGCCAAGGAGTCATACCTAAGGATATCTCTCTTTATTAATAAACCTTAATTATTTTGTTGTATGAAAGAAACTGACTCGTTTACATTATTTCCCCTCAAATTTTGAGAAAGTTATATTTTCCATTATAGTGTTTAGACGAGACCCTACATAAATAATTACTGGACTACTTATTGTTTGCATTATTGCTTTAACTTCTATGAGTACTATAGATATTTTTTTTCAGTCATATTTCCCTAATTAGTGGGAATATCATACTTCCAATACCAGTATTCTGGCCTTTATTGTTTTGATTAATATGTGTTGTTGAACTTTGTGTATTTTGACTTAACATGATAATTGTACAACTTCTTAATCTCATACGCTGTCTATAAACTCTCTCAGATTCTATTCAATTTTCATATGTATCATTACACTGAACGAATTTTCATACTATTTCACTAGACGAATTTTCAAATATCCCACTAGACTAATTTTTCATATGAATCATTAATATGATCCCACCGGGTGTGCCAAATTGTTTCTAGTAAAAAATGGTTTTATAATTTAAATGTTTAATTGTTCAATTTTCCTAGTGTGTCACTTGTTCAAGAAGAATCAACTTTCTAAGATGAATCACTTTATTACTCCTGGTTTTTTTTTTTTGTTTATACTAGCAAGTTGAAACACTTGTGAAAATTGAGAGTATTTCTAGTAAACTTGAAATATCTTCACATTGGTCAATGTTTCATTCAATGATTAATGAGATGTAATTTACAAAAAATCAATAAAAATGGTGACCTAAATTATTAAAAACTTTGAAATAGTGTTTTTCATATCCACGACATCTTTTTAGAATATAATTGTCTTAATATAATTTACCACCCCAATCACACTTATTTGATCTATTTATATTTTATTTTATATAACCGTTAGAAAAAAAAAATAATAAAAATGATTTTTCCCTATTAATTATTTTGTCTTCCTTTTTGAATAGTTACATTGTCACACATAACACTTATAATCATCCTTATCACGTCATGGAGTTATAATTACATTTGTCACATTATGAAATCATAACTATTTTTGTATACTTCTCGATTTTATACCTCATTGTGCTTCTATCTTTCTCTCAATTTTCCTTTCGATTAATATGAATCATCGATTATTTAATTTTTTTATTTCTCTTTAAACACTACAAATCTTCTAAGATTATTCAATTTTCACTTCGATCACTATGAATAATTGATTTTCGTATTCTTTGATTTTCTCTTACCACCCCGCCTTCTCTTCGATTTCTTGTTTGATTTCTTTTTTAAGATCTCTCGATTAATTTTTGGATGTCTTAATTTCCAATTTTTGAACTACTCCAAATTTTACCATCTCAATCATCAATTTTTGCTTTTAACTTTAATATTTTTTCTGACTTATTCTTTCATTATATTTATAAATTGTTTGTGACAACTAAATATATAATAATATAAAATAATACAAACTTATTTATTAAATCTATTTTGTAAAATTAAATTAGATATTTTATTATTTTTAAGATGATATAAGAATAAACTCTATATATATTATATATTGAATAATGTGAGTACGACGTTGAATTATTTATTTCTCAATTTTTAATATAAATCTTAAACTAAGCACATGTTTATCATAGATTCCCAAGTTTTGCTATGCCACTCTTCATATTTACTCTATGGATTGGTCAGTGTTCGGGTGGAGAGAAATTTTATTGTTTCAATAGTCAAAATGATAATGATTTTGAGCACAACATGGCAATTTGGCACATGGTACGCGACATGCGCCATAATCGGAAAACAATCCAATTCAGTGAAACATGCACGATGCACTGAAGCTAGAATCATTACACTACCTAGCATGTGTCAAAGAACATTCAAATCTAATAACGTTAATAATAATTACGTCAATAATATATCTTATGCATGTGAATTTCCTTCGGTTAAATCAAATTTTCAGTTCCGACATCCAATTTTAGGATTGAAGTTTTAAAAATATTCCAAGTCAAAAGTTGCATCAATTATTCCAATAAAGGGTCTAAAAAGACTTCAAATTAGAGTACGTTCCATTGTTTATTACTTTAAAAACATTTTTTTTGTTGTTTAAAAAGAGCGGATCGATCCCTCCATGTCCTAATTTCTAGGAGAAAAAATAAGTTCGTTTAGTGTGAGTACAGCTTAGATTTTCTCCTTTTAAAAATCGGAAAAAAAAAAAAACTGATATGGATAATGTAATTCCTATTTCATGTCAAATTTTTATTTAAATTTAAATTTTTTATATTATATATAAAATCATTTTTTATAATCCACATTTATTTATTTATTCATTTTTCATTTCTTTTATCTTTTTTAATTTCTTCAATCAATCAAATCAATCCATTATCTTACTTTTCATTTTTTTACACGGCCTTAATATATTAAAAACAATTTTTTATTAGCACAATTATCGTATAAAAACAAAAATTATTCAGTATTTGTTTTTCTAAAATTATTTAACATGTTTATGAGGATATATTTAATATATTTTTTAAAATATTTACATTAAATACTTAAGTTGACTTTAACAATAGTGAAAGGAGCTCAAATCATTTTATTAATTTTCTCTCTTTGTGGAGAAAGAAAAATATCCAAATATAACTTTTGTTTATAATGAAAAAACATTTTTCTAAAAATTTGTAAACTAACTGAAAACTTAAAACAAATTAATATATAATAGTGATCCACCTACACGCAATTGCTTGCCCAATCTACACGGCTACCTTAGCTTGTTTGCTTGCATAAAATCATGAATCACCCTTTTTTTGAATATTTAAAATTGATTCCATTAATTCTTGTAAATGCTAGATTCCCATTCTAAAATCTTACACCATTAGTTAACAAATGGGAAAAATCTGAAACCGTGTTTTATTTTTCATGACAGAGAGTAAGTGGAGAGTTATATATGTTGGTGAAATTAATTGTCAAGCAAGAGAATATTGCATTCATTGACAACTCGTTTGGTGGTGAGTTAGGTTGCGTTTGATAATCACATTCACGAGGAATCAATCTGACACATATAATGCGAGTGATTATGCTCCAAGAAATATTAAAAACAAGCAATAGAATAAAATATTTTTACGTAGTTGGGTTAGCATTTGCTCTTGCAGTCCAACTTCAACCTCTAGCTTTGTCTCATTCTGAATCTCTCTTTCCCTGCTAGGTTTTCTGTCGCCTAACATTTTCAAGAAACTTGAAAACCCATTAAGCTAAATAAACACTGGTAATAAAAAACCAACAACTCAAAATTATAAACACAAGATTAAAACTAAAAATCACTGTTGACTTAAATCAACTCTGTGTAAGATTGATAACTGTCAGTTGTGGACATGATTCGGATGTGATTATTAAAGGCCAAATTGAAGAAAAGAAAAAGAAAGCGTGTTTGTGATAATGAAACCTCCTAATTACCCAACAGACCCCACCGTCGAACAGTGTTCACTTGAGAGGGTATTTTCAGCGCTTTATTGGATTGCATCCATTTCTGGTGAGAGTAAGAGAAACTGAGAAAGAGGATCCAGCACAGAGCAAATGGCATTTTCGGAATTATGACCCCACTCTCATCCCACAAAACAACAACCCAACACCTCTTTCGTTTCTTACTTTCGTTTGTGTCTGTCTTTCCCATTTGTATCCGTTGAAACCCCACTTCCACTCTTCTCAACGCTAACACTACGCTCTGTTCCCTTACCCTTTTCAATGCTTATAACTTTTCTTCCCATTTTCAACCATGTCATCGTAGAACTTCCTCACCCCCCAAACTCTCTTAACAGATAACAACCTCGAACCTTCACCTCCAACGTTAAAAGAAAGTAAGACCGATGACGGAGGCTAACTCAACCCCAAGTGTCAGCTTAAAGCTTCTCGTCTTGGTAGCTATTTTGGTCGTCTTCGCAGTGGTGATTGTGCTTCTGATCTTCTTCCTGTGCTTGCGGGGGAGCCGGAGTTGGAAGCGGCGGAAGCTGGCGGTGAAACACAGCTCCGGGAGCATCCCTCTGGTGTCTAAGGAGATCATGGTGGTGAAAACCTCGGATCTCACCCCTGCGACGACGAGCGAGATTGGTGACGTGGAGGGTGATCCGAAGAAGGAGGCGGATGTGAAGGTTGATATTGGAGCGGTGACAGCAGGGAAGAGCGAAGTGTCCGGTGGTGGGGCCCACCGCAGCGAGGTGTCGGTGGAGGATCCGAACATAGGGTGGGGCCGGTGGTACAGCATGAGCGAAGTGGAGCTTGCCACGCGCGGGTTCGCGGAAGGGAATGTTATTGGGGAAGGTGGGTACGGGGTTGTGTACAGAGGAATTTTGCAGGATGGTTCCGTCGTGGCTGTCAAGAATCTTCTCAACAACAAGTATGCCACATTCTCACATGCCTAAAAACTCCAAAGTTTTTCTTTTTCTCATTTTTTATATCTCAAATTCACTTCTTTGCATTTTTTTTTTTATGTTTATTATGCCGCATGTTTCTCGTCTTTCTTTGTCTGATTATTTTACACTTCTGTTTGTCTGAATTGAACCTCTGACTCTGGGTCTATTGAGAAACTGTTTTTTTTTTTCTTACTTTCTTCGTATTCTATTATCTGTGAAATGGCTTGTATTCTAACACATATTCTCCAATTCTAAGAATATGTTACTTTAAAGATGAAAAAAATACTTTTGACCTTCTTCAACTCACATTCCAAGCATCCAAACATTGTCTTGACAGGGGAATGTGCATCGTGTTTGTTTTGAATTGTCTTGAGAAAAGTGAATGCCAATTTGGTGGCGGATTGTTTTACTTTTGAGAAACAATTATTTACTTTTTTTTTTTCGCGTTGTTTGAGAGAGTTGAAAATTTTCTATTCCTATAATGATTACTCATAATTTAAGCGTTCTAATTATAATAATTGTCATTTGCTTCTCTTCTACTTTTGTTTATGTTTTTAGTGTTAATTTTGGCTGGGTAATAATGTTAGTATGTTTCTTTTATCTTTACTTTTACTTTTTGCTTTATTTATTATGTTGTTCGTATATAATTTCTGTCTTGCTTTTTTTGGTTTTCTTTTTCTTTTTTTAAGAAACTGGCTTAATTCCCCCAATACTTTAGCTTAATTTAGTTTATTGAAAGGAAAACTTTAGTTTATGAAGCTGGGAAAAATAATTACTTTGTATTAGAGAACTATCAATTAATAACGGTAACTTATATTTGTGGTCCAAAATTCTTACAATTAATAATTTTTACCTAAAAATTAAAGTTGTCTCTAGCAAAACAAACATTTTAAATTTCCATAATTAAATTAAGAAGTACTGGAACAACAACGTGAGAAAGGCTTGCCTCATGATTGCAACTTTAGTTTGCAAAATATTCAATTTAATTACTCATCTGTTTTTATACTTACAATATCTTAATGTTTTAATTCTTGCATATAAAAGTGTCTGTTTTATTTTTTATGCAAATATTTTTTAATATATTCTAATATCTACAGTCCACAGTTGTGACTGAAACACATTAGAAGATATATGTATGTACAGCAATATAGGCCTTAAAAAGGGTTAAATTCTATATGTAGAAACCAAAGTGAGAAGGTTCTAGGTATAATTATATTCTAGTATAAAGACCAAATAAGTAATTACACTTTTGTAAATTGATGTCGACTTTTTATGCAATGAGCATCTTCAGTAATGTTATTTTATTGAAAATTCGTGTCCAATTGTGCTGTGATTAGGGGCCAAGCTGAGAAGGAGTTTAAGGTAGAGGTTGAAGCTATTGGAAAAGTAAGACATAAGAATTTGGTTCGTCTGGTAGGATATTGCGCAGAAGGTGCTCGAAGGTATTATTCTGTTTACATGACTGTTATTCTTTAGATTTAATGTCATTAAGACCATAAAAGTTCAGAATTCCTTTAAATTTTCTTCACTGACACTTTTACTATCAGGATGCTTGTTTATGAGTATGTTGACAATGGAAACCTGGAACAGTGGCTGCATGGTGATGTAGGACCAGTTAGCCCCTTGACATGGGACATTCGAATGAGAATTGCTACTGGAACTGCAAAAGGGTCTGTTTGATGTTCATTTCTCCTCTTTTTAGCACGTTACTTATATCTATTGGGAAATATTTTCTTATGTTCATAATTATCGTGGAATGAGATGTTTATGTACTGAAGTCTTTCTCTGACTAATATAATCATGCTCTGGAATCTTATCTTAAACATTCCATTAAAACAATTAATGTTTCTACATTATGAAACAGGCTAGCCTATTTGCATGAAGGCTTAGAACCCAAAGTTGTGCACCGGGATATAAAATCCAGTAACATTCTATTGGATAAAAACTGGAATGCCAAAGTATCAGATTTTGGACTTGCCAAACTCTTAGGATCTGAGAAAACCCATGTGACTACGCGTGTAATGGGAACATTCGGGTAATTATTTTCTTTCTGGAAAATCTGAGTTATTTTCAACTTCCATATATGACAATTATCGTATGATTTCTTACTACTAATTTTCTGCAGATATGTTGCACCTGAGTATGCAAGCTCTGGTATGCTTAATGAGCGCAGTGATGTGTATAGCTTCGGAGTTCTTCTCATGGAGATAATCACAGGAAGAAGCCCCATTGATTATTCAAGACCACCTGGAGAGGTACTTCTGGGTTTTGTACATGTTTTCATCAGTACATTAAGGGCATGTTTGGAGCCAAAAAAAATACTTTTCCAGAAGCACTTCTAAAGAGAAAAATAAATTAATTTCTTCATAACCTTAAGTTAACTTATACATAAGTCAAAAATTAGATTTTGGGATAATAAGAAATAGTTTCAACGAATTAGTTCATGCAGAAGTTAATTTTAACTTAGAAAATTTTCATTTTTCTTTCTTATTTTTCTATCTTAGAAGCGTTTATTATGAAAAGAATTCTCCAAACATACTCCAATTCCATAAACACTATCAAGACTCACCTAGTTTTTGTTGATGTGCTTCAGATGAATTTAGTAGATTGGTTCAAGGCAATGGTGGCAAGTCGTCGCAGTGAGGAGCTAGTTGATCCTTTAATTGAGATTCCACCCTCTCCAAGATCTCTGAAACGAGTTTTACTGATTTGTCTGCGGTGTATAGACTTGGATGTCGTTAAACGACCAAAGATGGGTCAAATTGTTCATATGCTTGAGACAGATGATTTCCCCTTTCGTTCTGTAAGCACTATGCTCTTCCTCAGTTTATCCTTTTAAAAACTAAATGAAATTTCATCTTCCTTACGTGACTAACTTCAACTTGTTAAACAGGAGCTACGTACAGTTAGAGAGAAAGATCCTGTGTCTTCTCATGCAGATGTTTCCATTAAAGTTCCTTATCCACCACCAAAGCATGCAGAAACCGTAGAAAAATCAAGATGGAGATGATTGTTTGTAATATTGGTGAAGCAACTGTGGTGATCGAATTATTTGTATTGAGATTAATTTCATGATGTTATGAACGAGTTATATGAGTCACTGTGCATATCTTATACGGTCTAGTTATTTCCTTCGGGTTTCAACACCATGCATTTTGTTGTATTGCATTATCTTGTGAAGTGAAAAAATAGAGCATGGCTTGTAAATACGAACTTCACAATCTGTCAATTTTTTTTGTCTGCTTGTGGACACATTCAAGAAACTTAGAGCATGTTTTATTTACGTTGGCTTAAAATTCAACTTGAAATATTAATTAATCTGATTTTAGGTATAACACCACATGTTTGGTCCTGTGTTAATGAATCCCTAAACCCTAAACCAATCACTATCAACAATGGTGTTCCTTAACTTCCACGACGGTCCTATGTACTGCAAGCACGATTCACCGCAGGTTGCTCTTGCAAGGAAAAGAATTTCGTTTGAGTCATGGCAATTATTACCCCTGCGGAATGTTATGCAGTAGTAGGACTATTAGATATGCATAATTAGCATAACGCCACCAAAGTGAGAGTACATTGTGTAGGCTTGTGTTTTGTCTCCAAGTTCCTTATGCGCGTCTTCATTGCCTAGAACGAGGTAGATGCTACGTACAATTGTAGCTTTACTGATTATAATAAAAATATGCATTAAAATTTAATGGTCATTATTCCAAGTAATAAAATATGGATTACAATTAATTAAAAATAGTTAATAAAATTCATTAATTAAGAAGTAAAGGCTACGCAATATTATAATTTAATTTCCCATAAATTTTACTGTATAATAGAAATGGAAAGTGTGTTATACTTTTACTTATCTCAAAAGATTGGGCTAAAGAAAATGACACGTGGGGGCAATAATTCCCTCCTTTAATTTTATACCTTCTCCTTTCGATTATTATGTTTTAGTTTTTCTTTTTAAAAGGTTAACGGTTCCATCATCGTCTCATCGGGTACCAGATCTGTGCCATTTCTTCGAACCACACAGGCATGGACGAGAAGCTCATACAGCGGTTAGAATCGGCGGTGTCGCGGTTGGAGTCGCTCTCCGCCGGATTCCAACCCTCCGCCTCGCCGGTCGACCCTTCCGATGCGGCGCGGGATCCGTCCGTCGTCGCATTCGCCGATCTGACCGACCAGTACGTCGCTAGGGTTTCCCGCGCTGCAGAGGTTATCGGAGGAAAGGTCTTGGATGTGTCCAAATGTTTGCAGGAAGCTTTCGTTGTTCAGAAAGAGCTTTTGATTCAGCTCAAACAAACCCAGGTTCGTCATTGCTCTATTTTTTTCTTCTTCTTGTCGTGCGGAATGTTTGTTTTGGTGCGGGATTAACGAATTTGAATGTTTGTTTTGTGTGTGACGATGTTGATGTTTCCAAAAAATGGTGATAATTTTGATAGAATAGAGACTGATACTGATAGAACAAAATGTTGTGGTACTCTCGGGTTTTTTTATGGGAGTTTTATGTATGTATTAAATCTACATCTCTGGTTGTTGTGAATTGCGTGGATTCGATACTTGTTTTACTTGTCATGTTTGACAAAAGGTGGAGGTTCCATGTTCCGTGGGTATTTGTGTATGCTATAGCTTGAAAAGCGAAATTCAGAATCAATTTAGTTTGTAGAAAAGATAGCACATATTATTGCTCGTGCAGTACGGTTATATTCTTTTGGACTATATGTCACTAATGTTTGTAAATGCTGAGTTAGTATCCCTTTCATCATTCATTGTGCAGAAGCCTGACCTTGCTGGGTTGGCTGAATTTCTGAAACCATTGAATGAAGTGATCACGAAAGCTGCCAAATTGACTGAAGGAAGGAGATCTGATTTTTTTAATCACTTGAAAGCTGCTGCTGACAGTCTCTCAGCGCTAGCATGGATAGCATATGCAGGGAAGGATTGTGGTAAGTGATAAACGATTATTTTCTTGGATGAATATTTGGCCTTCAGTGTCTTATGTTTCTTCTATTTTTCAAGGTATGAGTATGCCAATTGCACATGTGGAAGAAAGTTGGCAAATGGCTGAGTTTTACTGCAACAAGGTATTCTTGGTACCTGTCAGAATCTTATTAATTTGTCTTTGATATAAAGGAGTCCTTGCAAAGTGATCTTCCCTGATAATTTTAGCAATTTGTACTTTATCCTTGCATTTAAAAGGTTTCATTTTTACTTTAAAACAAGATGTATAGGTTATTCATTTGCTGGGTGACATCAGCTTAATGGATGAGAAAGGAAATTAATTACTATCAACAACCTTAATGTTTATGTGCATTGGCTCAGAAGTTTGATTTAAAATGTCTGATTTACAATTTACTTTTGTTGGCAACAATTACATGTGGAATGCTGCGTATTGATCATGCACTAGCCTCTTAGTTTTATTTTTTTGCACTTCCTATCTCATATTATTGACTAGTATTTCACGAGTCAAGGATAATGATCGAGCCTTACTCTTGGTTGTAATATTTAGGTGCTTGTAGAGTACAGAAACAAAGACCCAAATCATGTTGAGTGGGCTAGAGCTCTTAAAGAGTTGTATCTACCTGGATTGAGAGATTATGTCAAGAGCTATCATCCTTTAGGCCCTGTTTGGAGTCCAACAGGAAAAATATTTGCTCCATCAAAAGCTTCTGCTCCTGCAGCACCTGCCGCCCCTCCCCCTCCATCTGCTTCTCTCTTTAGTTCTGAATTATCTCAGGCTTCATCTTCTAAGCCTAAATCTGGGATGTCGGCTGTTTTTCAACAAATCAGTACAGGAAATGTCACTTCAGGTACCTTATTCTTACTCTTACATTCTTGATTGAACGTTCAGCCATCAGCATCTATGATTAAAAACTTTAGCTAATAGGTTTGAGAAAGGTTACGGATGATATGAAGACTAAGAATCGCAGCGATAGAAGTGGAGTTGTTGCCACTATTGAAAAAGAAAGTCGTGCAAGTCCAAGAGTGCCTTCTAAAGCAGGACCTCCAAAATTTGAACTTCAAATGGGCCGCAAGTAGGTTTATATGTGTGTTTGTGTTTTGTATAAAAGTCACTGCCAATAATTTCACTGTCCATCTCCCTAAACCAACTAATCTCGGCCAATGTTAGATGGGTTGTTGAGAATCAAATCGAGAAGAAAGACTTGGTCATTGGAGACTGTGATGCAAAGCAGTCTGTATATGTTTATGGATGCAAAAACTCTGTTTTGCAGATTCCAGGTAGCTCTTTCGGTTCTTTCCAATTTGTATCCAACTTGTCACTTGGTGAAAAGGTTACTTGTGACTAAATCACTTCTAAACAATTTGCAGACAAGGTCAACAATATAACTATTGACAAATGCACAAAGATTGGAGTTATATTTAAGGTTTGTGAAACATAAGAATTTGATGTTAATAATAGAAATGGAATCAATTCATGGAGAGATGAAATTCATTTGTGTCTTAAAATGCAGGATGTTGTTGCAGCATTTGAAATTGTAAACAGTAATGGGGTCGAGGTTCAATGTCAGGTACCTAGACTCCATTTTTTCCCTCGCTCCTTAACATCTTCCAATGTTGTTGGCGTGTTAGGTTGAATTTCATATTATTTTTCCAGTAGATATTTTAATAGCTGTAATGCTCTTATAACTGATAAGATGCACATGATTAGAGTTTAGTATAAATACTTGATACATAAAAAAAATGATTTAGTTATACTCATGCTCTTCTTTACTAATCATAGGGTGCAGCCCCTACAATTTTAGTGGACAACACTTCTGGCTGCCAGCTATATCTGAGCAAAGACTCATTACAAACATCCATAACTACAGCAAAGTCAAGCGAGATCAATGTCTTGGTTCCTGGTGCTGAACCTGACGGTGATTGGGTAAGTTTTAGTTTTCCTCTTGTATACTTAATATTGAAAAGTTTGATTCCTCATCATCTGAACAAAAAACTCGCTGAAAAGTTGTATTCCCCCTAATTTCTTGTAGATAATTTCGATGTGTTAACCATTGAAAGTTCAATACTGGTGTCTGTTTTTTCTTATTATTATCGATACTCTTTACTACCACAAAGAATGAATGTCAGTGTGTTGGAGCATGCCCAAAAATGCTATGGTGGGTAGGAAGTGGGATGACGGCTAGCTTAAATATTATTGTACAAACTAAATAATCTTTTATACCACACATATTTATTTACTCCAAAAAAACAAAAATTAATGAAACTCATGATATAGGACATTGTTTACAATACAATCGCCGTCAAACTAGGAGCAATAAGAACAAAGGAATGAAGTAAAAAATTAAAGATGGTGAAAAATAAAATAGAATGCAGTAGATAAAAATTAGGACGGTGTGAATCGTGAGGTATGAAAGAATAAGAAAGAGCATACCACAAAACAACAACCAGGCCTTTTCCCACTGTAAGAAGGGAATGAAACACAGAATAAAAAAACAGAGACTTGTAAAGTGTGAAATAATAACAGAACACCATTTGTAGCGTGTGCCATTTACTACTTTTAGAAGTTGTTTACAGCTGTGGATGAATCCATCTATATTTAGAATCTTATTTAAAACATTGTAAAATTGTTGACCTGGTGGATGCATGATCTTGGTAAGATATTAATAGTGGACTAAAGTCACATGATATAAATTCCAAATTTTAACCACGTCTTCTGTTTCAGGTGGAGCATTCTTTGCCACAACAATACATTCATTTGTTCAAGGATGGGCATTTTGAAACAACTCCTGCTTCTCATTCCGGAGGTTAAAGTGATTGGCTATTTGAAGTTTCTATTTATTTGGGAATGCTGTGGAAGTGGCTTCAATTTGTTGTTTGGTTAATTCATTTACAAATGCTATCATATGAAGTAGGTTTACCGTATACTCGTTCCTTATGCTAGTGGTTTTTCCATGGGTTTATTGAATCATTGGAATCATCCATACGATTTTTGGTTTTGATAGTTTGTTTCTGGTTGAGCGTGCTTCTGTCCTAAGTTGCATTATGCAATCGGTTTTTTTGGTTTCAGAAGACCTTTACAGTCTGAAATTCTTGGTTTGATTCTGGTGTCTTGCTTGTTTTCAGGATAGAGCAATGATGGTGTACTCGGTTCATTCGGAAAGATATTTTTGCATCCGTTTGAATCGATTACTTATCTCAGTTTAGTTTGTAATGAGAAATGACGAGTTATGGACGTTCTTGGCTTCTGCTTACATGTTGGTTGATCTTTAAAATATTTAATGTGTTATCAATTGTTTAAACCACTCTTCTCTCTACCGGATCAGAACTAGGAACGGTCATGTTTCTAAAAAATTGGAAAAATCGATATCAAACCTGTAAAATTTTATGGATTTTTATTGTCTTTTTGGTAAAAAAAAATTTAAAAATCTTTTTTGTTTTAAAGAATACATATTTTAAAACATTCTTTAAAGATATAATATTTTTATTTTGTATTTTATATGATCAATGTTAATTTTAGATAATAGGTATTTTATTATCTTTTTTTTATTATTTTCAAATTTTGAATTTTTATTATATTTTATATTTATATTTTGATTATAATTTATTAAAACATGATGATTTAGTTTTGTTTTATTTAAAGAAAAAATTATGGATACCAATAATTTTATATCATTGTAAAAATGTTACTTTACTAAATTTGATTGAATTTTAATTATATCTTTAAATCTTACATTTATGTCTTCCCTTGTATAGTTACACATGATTTTTAAAACATTAACTTGATAGTGATAATTAAAGGATAATACAATGAATTATTTTGTTTTATTTTCTTTCTTATATCACTTCACCTTAACATGTTAATTTAATAACAACTAATAAGTTATTTTATCAAGTTTCAGAGTGCAGTTAGTTTCCAGTTTTAAATTTAACCTGTTAGTTTAATTAATATCAATGTGTTGGTGAGAAAAATCGAGAATTTGAATTGACACTCTAAAGAAAGAATTCGATGATTAGGAAAATCAATATATGGAAGGAAATTGAGGACCATATGTTGGCTAAATCGATAGATAAATTGAAAGGTGGTTGGAAGACATTCGATGATTGTGTTGATGAGAAAGAAATCAATATGTGAAATTAAGAGTTGTTCGATGACCAGATATTAGTATGGAAATATTGATCGAGAATCGAATGGAAGAAAATCGATGACATGATGGAGAGTAAAAATGATAAATATCGAAGATAGCCAAAAAGCAGTTCAAAGTACTCGATGTCTGAAATCGAGATCGAGTGAACGGTTAACGCGCACATAGAATATGAGAAGCAGTTTTCTAAACCGTGGGAAAGGTGGAAATCGAAACAGTTAGCGTGCACATGGGTAACGATTTCTAAACCATGGCTGAGATCGAATATCGAGGGAGCAATTATCTCATGCATGAGAATGTGGTAGCGGTTTTTAAACCGTTCTTAGGAGATTACGTTGAAGCAGGCCAATAAATAGAAAGAAGCGTGAAGGGAAAGTGGAAATTGACAAAGACAACAGAAACACAGGTGAAAAGTCTACCGATAAATCATGAAGTTTTTGGCAATCTGAATTTCCATTTTCATTGACTGTTTTTACCGCTTCCTTTACTTTCTCTGATACTTTACTTTTAATACAATTTAAATTCACCCGTATATACTTTCATATTATTTCAATTCCTTGTCATTCACATTTATCAAATTAAGATTCCGTACTTTTAATTCCTTGTCATTTACACTTATGTAATTTAAAAATGATGTATTTACACTTATGCAAGTTTAAGATTCTGCATTTAATGCTTTCTTTACTTTCTCAGTAATTTATTTACTTGCACGTTTAATTTACTTTCCAGTATTATCGATTACTTTTATACGCACTTTAATTTATGTCATTTACTCTTAGTGCAATTTAATTTTATGCATTACTTTGTTACCTCGATGTTCTTTTACTATTCTCTTTATTTCTGTTAAATTTCATCTTCTCGAGTCTTTTAATATAAAAAAAAATACAAAAATAGTACTGTCGATTTCAATATACATGTTTTATTACGCTTTCCGTGTTTTTAATATACGTGCGTGTTTTATCTTTTATTTGGCTCGATAATATGACATTTTCAATCTATATACACTTTTTGATTGAAAATTGTTTGATAGTTTAAATAAAAAGAATTTATGTGATTAAAATTTGATTAGAAATTTAAGTCTCTAAAAAATCGAAAACATCCAAAATTTTTAGGAGAAACACGATTACATTTATGTTTATCCATGATTGAACATAACTATTTGGAACTGATTTTAACGATTTCAAGATGATTTTCTATGTTCGTTTCAAAAGACAAGTAGAAAACTAGTGCAGTTACAAATTCAAGGTACATGAACTTTTCATTTTTAAGTAGAAATTATTGTAAGAAGGCAAATAGAGAGATAAGAAAGAAGGGTTAACATCTTTTGACTTTTTTATCTTTTTTTTCTCATCTGCATTAATTAAGAAATTTCTTGCTGTTTTTTTATATTTTTTTCTTTAATGTTTATTTTACATATCTTTTCTCTTTTTTTATTTTTTATTTTTTTAATCATATCATTTATTATATTTTTTGTACTTTTTTAGATCTCTTGTTTACATCCTTTCAAAGTTCTAGTAAATTGATACATGACACAAATTATATCTCTATCAACTTTCGTCTAATTTTATCATATCTCACCACTTTCCCTTTATCTGCAATTTCATCGTATTGTTTCTAATCTGTAATTGTGAGATCTCATATTTCCTTTTCCATTATTTTGAATAACTACTAATAATCTATTTTTGTTGGAAGAATAATGTAATTGTTTCGTTGAAAGTCAAATTGGAAATTTATATATATATATATATATATATATATATATATATATATAATAATAATAATAATAATAACTTATCTTAATCATTAAATTACAATAAAATAAAATAAAAATTAACTTTTTTTAAAATAAATAAGATTCCCTATGTATATTTTTAGTTAGGAATGGCAAAGCGGATCAGCCAGTCCGCTTTGGTCCCACGCTTTGGCTCGCCAAAAGCGGGCAGTGGCTGACTCGATATAGTCATGACGGATCTGTAGACCTTGGCCCGCCACTACCATAATTTAGAAAAAAATAATTTTTTTAAAAATAATTTTTTAATAAATTTAATAATAAGATTATTATTTGTTTGTCAATAATTCAATATATATATATATATATATTATTTCAATTTAATAATATAAATCAATACATTATTTTAAGAAATTATAATTTAGAACAATAATAAAATTTACATAATAATAAATAATAACAAATATATATATATATATATATATATATATATATATATATAAATAACGTTAAACTTATAAAATTTATATTTTTTATATTGAAAAATTCAAATACCTATATATTTTTTATTTGATAAAACTTCATATTATTCTTGGTTGAGTGATTCTTATACCTTTAATTCAAGTAATAAGGATAAAAATAATCAGTGCTTAGGATAAATAAGGAGAACAGGAGGGAAAATTATATTTCAGGGAAGGAGAATATTTTACTGTGAGAATGAAACTTTTTTAATTCTCTTTTTAAAATTTTTAACTTTATATATTATCTTTATAATTAATTTTATTACAATAAAAAATTATTTTTTTATTAATTAGGCGGGCCGCAGTCGGTCCGTCCCGTCCGCGGGTTGGCGGGCTTGGCGGGCGGGCCAAAGCGGGCTGTAGGCTGAAAACACCAATCCGCCCCAATATTATGGCGGGCTGACGGATCGGCCCGCGGGCATAGCCCGTTTTGTCATCCTATTTTTAGTAGTATATATTCTTGTAAAATCCTTTACATCTCTATCTAGTTTATATAAAAAATAAAATATGTGCCAATATTTTCTGCATATATCATTTTAGAAACTGCTGATATTTTTCTGTTTTTAATTTTTTTTAGATAAAATAATTTAATTTTGTTAGATATTTTTCTTTTATTTCAGGTATTATTTAAGTTTATCCATTTTCATTTAAGAATTGGATTGCTCTCCCAAAATATTCTCATTATTGAGAATGAGCATATGATGCCTTTCACTAAAACTAATGAACCTCATCATCATTTTATGCCAGTATCCTTTAATTAAAAAGTATATATATCCCTTATTGGTCTCATTGATTTTGTATTATGAGGTAACTATTAATTATTGTTCCAACATTTAAGTGTAAAATTTACTCAAAGTTTCTTCTCACACTTTAGATGCATGTTTGTATATATATCATAGACACTTCTTTTTGAAAGAGTCTTTTATAATCTTCTTAAGAAATTTTTTTTTTATGAACCTTCTTCTTTATTTTATTTTTCTTTTTGGTTCCAAAAGTTGAAACTATAATGCATAGAATAAAGGGTACTCTTGTAGGAACCTTTTATTTAGTTGAAAGCAGCGTGCAGAATCGAAAATCTTTGTGCGAAACCAACGTCAAATCACAAATCCCGCATATTTTTACATCTTTTGGCCCTTCTCCTTCTGTCACCAAAATTCACTTTTTTTTTTCTTTTTATGTTCAAACAACACTTGCTAATTTAATAAGTACTTTAGTATTTATAATTTTTTAAAAATATATAATATAAAGTATTCTTATATTATGAGAATTTTATAAATAAAACTAATTTATTTTTTTAATTTTACATGATACAATTCAATAGATTGAATTTTATTTATTATTGTAATTTTTTTTTCAATAACACACTATTTCAAAAATTTGCATATTACTTCTGTATAAGGTTAAGTTTAGTGAAAAGAAAACTAATCATATCAAATATTGTGTGAAACTACACATCCTCATAACATTAAACATTTAAATAATTTTCACATAAATATATCTTCAAATAAAATATTTTTTTATATAATAATTATGATAAATATTCATATTTAACATAATTAAAATAAATTATTTTTATTTTGTATAATATAAATTATTTTGATACATTTTTAATGATTAAATAGTTAATTTTATAATATTGAAACATATAATTATACATATGATTTTAATTATAAAAAAAAATCAAGTTCACAACTAAATGCAAGTATATGTTATCAGAGTGATTAAATTCACAAAATTTTCTTTATTAAATTTTGACAGAAGATGAATTGATTCCATATTTATTAAATAACACTCAAATCCTTCTAGATGAATATATAAATCATTTAAAAATTTACTTGATATAACACTAATTATATTTATATTAGTGAAAATAATTAAAAAATTAAATAAAATATTTTAATTATACTATAGAAATAATTATCATATAACAAAAATATTATATATATATATATATATACTAAAAAAATTATGTGAAAGATATATTAAAAAAAAAGTACGAGAATAATTCATGAGTTATTAATGAATTTGTTGTGCATTTAATCCAATCGAAATTATTTTAATAAATTTTAAAAAATTCATCTTTCTTTTTTATTCTCTCCTCATTTTCTTTATTTTATTTGTTTTTATAAATTGTTTATCATAAAAATTTAACAAACTTACCAATTTCTGGATATTGGTTGCACCAACTAATGCTATGCTCTTATGGGTATGCCTGAGATATATTCTCCTCTTTCCCCTTTTTTTTTTGTTTTAAGTACACTGGTTATGGCTTTCATTTTCATGTTCCCTTCATAAGAACATCATCTACTTGGAACTATTAACTCAGGTGGTGGAAACTGAACTCTTTAGACAAACCACCATGGTTACACATTCCAACCCTTCACTCCTCCTCCACCTTTCCCTCGTCACCACTGCAATGTACTTTGCTGGTCTGTTCTCTCAGTTCAATATCCTTTCTAACCATACAATTACCTATTCAACTTTTTCTATGGTTTCATTTCATTTCTCAAAATCTATGAAAACTATGAACCAACAATGTGTTTTCAAGTGCAACTGTGAAGTTTTCTTCAGCGTTTTCAAGTAGTACTACCCATCACTCAATTTTTTGTTTTGATTCGATTTTTAACCTGCTGGGTGATTCTTGTGTTGATTTTGCTTCATGGTCAGTGAATAAATTTGGCCACTCAAATGATTTTTCTTCAAGTTATTAGTAAGTACGTTTTTAAACATATAAAAACCAGTTTTTCATTACTAAAGTGTCTCTTTTTTTTTTTTTCTTTCTGAATCTTGTTCGCATTGCAGTTTCGCAACCCTTCATCGGCGTGAACTACGGCCAGGTCGCCGACAACATTCCGGCGCCGGAGGCCTCGGCTGAGCTTCTCAAGTCTACGACCATTGGAAAAGTTCGTCTATACGGCGCCGATCCGGCGTTCATCAAGGCGCTAGCGAACTCCGGAATCGGAATCGTCATCGGCGTGGCCAACGGCGACATTATGAGTTTGGCCTCTGATCCCGACTCGGCGACTCAGTGGGTTAACGCGAACGTGTTGCCACATTACCCCGAGAGCAACATCACTCTGATCACCTTGGGCAACGAGATCATGAGCTCCGGCGACGAGGGCCTCGTCTCGCAAGTTCTCCCGGCAATGCAAAATGTCCAGAATGCCCTCGACTCGGCCTCACTCGGCGGCAAAATAAAAGTTTCCACCGTGCATTCAATGGCCATTTTGACTCAGTCGGAGCCTCCCTCGGCCGGGTCGTTCGACCCGGGTTTCATGGATATCCTCCAACCGTTGGTAGCGTTTCTGAAGAATAACGAGTCACCTTTTGCCATCAATCCATACCCGTTCTTCGCTTACCAGAGCGACCCGAGACCCGAAACTCTCGCATTTTGTCTATTCCAACCAAATTCGGGTCGGGTCGATAAGGGTAGCGGAAAGATTTATTCCAACATGTTCGACGCTCAGGTTAGTTATTTTTTCGTTTTTTAATTTTTTTTTTTAAATTATATGTACATTCTATATTATCAATCAAAATTTCAATTTAATATTTTTTTTTAACTTTAAATTTGTTTCTTAATTTATATGTATTTTCATGTCCAAAGTGGTTTTGGATTGCTTTGCAATAAGTACATTATGAACAACATACATATAAATACTTGTATATTTTATTATAATTTATTTTCATATTTTTTCTCTGGTAATATAATCATGTTAATTAATAATATAAGAGAATTAGAATTGATATGTAGATTCTTTCACGTATATATATATATATATATATATATATATATATATATATATATATATATATATATATATATATATATATATATATATAAACACAAGCAACTACATACGTTGGAAAAATAAATAAAAGTCAATGTTTTGTTTGTGTAGAAAAGAAAGTGAAAAGATAAGAGGGACAGAGAAGAAAAAGAATAGAAAGTGAGAATTTTGTTAAGTTGTTTGATTAAAAAATAAAATGTAAAAGTTTTTTTTAATCTTATTTGATTGAGTATAAAGTAAAAGAAAAGAGAAAAATATGTATGTAATAGCATATCACTATTAAGGAAAATTCGATATTATATTTTATATATAATTGAAAATTATTAATAGGATGTTTAAAATGAAAGGGTGTTGAAAAATCAATCTCGTTAATTTTTTCTCTTACTTGGATAATTAATCAAATTGTGAGATTATTATTTTTATATAAAGTGGTACGTTAAATCTATATTTTATATATCCACATATGATTACACTATACGTGATATTAAAGTCCATTATGATCGTAGAAAAATAAATAAATAAATTTTAAAATCTAACCTTTTTATTTAGCATAATGCAGGTAAATTTTTAACAGCCCATCCGAGTCTTATTCCTTTTCCACAAGCGTGACGCAAATTTTACTTATAATAAAAAATTCTTAAATAAAAGTATTTAAAACTATTTTCAATTCTCATTATATTTTATATTTTTATTTTTTATATTATTACTTTTTAATTTTTTATTATACACGTTATTTTGATATGGTTAAATCTTATATGAAGAATTAAAAGAGATTAAAAATAATTCAGAATTAAAAATAAAAATAAAAATAAAAATAAAAAAGGGGCTCAAAAGGGAAGAATTGTAATTATAAAAAGTGATTAATTAATCCAAAAAAAACACTGTTTGCATTTTTTATTTACCAAACCATATTCTTTTTTCTCAAGCAAGGCAGAAAAGTTTGGAAGTGTAGAGTGCTCTGCAACCTCCCAATGGTGTAGTTTTGTTCCATTGCGTTGTCCTTTTGAATTTTGGTGCCAAATAAATGCAAGTGGTGGTAATACTATTGTTGATTGATGTTTTGGGGTGTATGCATGATTGGTGCACTGATTTTGTGTTGCACATGTTGAGCAAAGGTGGATGCTGTGCACACTGCTTTGAGCAATATAGGGTTCGGGGACATTGAGATTGTGATTGCTGAGACAGGATGGCCCTCTCGTGGGGACACCAATGAAGTAGGAGCCACTGTTGAAAACGCCAGGGCCTACAATGGAAACCTCATTGCACACCTCAGATCAATGGTTGGCACTCCTTTCATGCCTGGAAAATCTGTGGACACATTCATTTTTGCACTCTATGATGAGGATTTGAAACCTGGTCCAGCATCTGAGAGAGCATTTGGCCTGTACAAAGCTGATCTTACCATGGCATATGATGTTGGCCTAGACAAGTCTAGCTCTAACCATAAGGTCAACAAATTTCTGCTATTCCACATGCATACACAGTGTTGTTATTTTAGGAAGAATTTCAATTGATTTCTGGTTACATGCTAACATCTAGTCTCCTTAATTTGTGGTTCCACAGAATCCACCAACTAGTCCTGAAAGGGAAACACAGTGGTGCATCCCAAAAGTGGAAGTGAGTGAGGCTCAATTGCAGACAAATATTGATTATATTTGTGCTAGCCAAGTTATAAATTGTGGACCAATTCAACCAGGAGGTGCTTGTTATGAACCTAACACAGTATTATCTCATGCTGCCTTTGCCATGAATCTCTACTACCAAAAGGTTGGAAGAAATCCATGGAACTGTGATTTCTCTCAAACAGCAATGCTTACATCTCAAAATCCAAGTAAGTTTTCTTAGCACCATTTTTCTGAAATCTATGCCTAAGAAGCAAATATAATAGAAATGGAAATTAATCCTACAAAACCGAGGTGAAAATTGTATACTGTCATCATTTTTCTATTTGTTAAGAGGTTTTTTCATCTTATCCTTCCACTCTTAATTTTCTCAATAGATAATTGTTTCAGCACCCTTTCAGTTCTGACATTTGACATCCTAGATATTTTTTCCCATGATTGTGGGTTTGGTGGAAAATTAAGCGTTTAGAAAAGAGAAAATGAAGTTGGTTAGAGTCTTTTTGCATTGTGCTTTACGAGTTACTAGTCCTTGTTTCTAACCATTGGTTTCTAACATTATTTTCCTCCTACGTGTAGGTTACAATGCTTGTGTTTATGTTGGTGGAAGTACCTGAAAAGGAAATTTATTTATATTAGAATTGGATTAAGGAATAAGGCTCTATCATCAGCCATCTTTTCAATTTTCTCCGAATGAAATCTTATTCCCTAACTTTTAGTATAATAAAAAAGATGACAAAAGCATCCATGTATCAAACTCCAGTTTCCATAATTTTTCAGCTCTTCTCAATGGTTATATTTGGAAGGGTAATTTACTTCATTAGTATGATTTGATTATTTATCATTGGAGGTGCTATCAATTTTTAAACTGGAAAGCAAACATATCTTCAAACATTTTTACATATAAATAAAAAAAAACAACGACAATATAAAGGTATCATTTAAATCTCCCACAACTTTTAAAAGCTTCAACGGCAAGAAAAATAGTCTAAAGTTGCTTTTTTTCTGGAAACAAAAGCCAAATTCGCTTATTGTTCTTTTACCTACAAGAGAAAACTAAATAAAAATTCTGCCATCTTTGAAATTTAGTGTTAAACTTTTGCATTTACACGTTTAATAAAGTTAATGGTTATTATAAAGTAGATTCAATTTATAAAAAAAATCCTTATATAAATTAGGAACCATTTCGTGTTCAAAATATGATATTGATTACACTATACTGAAAGTATTATTTCTTTTAAAAATCTAATTCATTTTAATTTTATCCTTAAAACATGTATATAGGGGGAAACATAATATATATAAATTATCATCCACCTAGGATTTGTGAGCATGTATAAATATTCTATCATGCATTTAATTCTCTTATTTTTTTTCTCTAACTATGTTTTATTTCGATTTTGAAATACTCATCTTAATCAACTTAACTTATTTTAATGTATCTTTTGTATGTGGTAAAAGTGTAACTAGTATATATTTTTTATCCCACGTAATTAAATTTAATTAGATAGAGTTGAATCTATTTCACCTTTTTTCTATATAGCAACCCCACATAACATAACTATTCTTGAGCTGAATTGACTGAATCCACAAAGTAAGTCTCAATAAGAAAAATAATTATTTATTAAAAATACAAATAAAAATGTTAATCATATTTAATAATTATAATAAAGTGATACTATTTGTAATTTAAAATAATATTATATAATAAAATATAAATTATTTTTATAATAAAATTATTAGGTAAATATTCTCTTCTTTTTCTTAAGTATCATTCTGGCAATTTGTTGTTTCATGTCATTTTTAAAAGTTAATATCATATTCATTATATTTTTATTAGTTATACTCTAATCTATAAATATATGTATATATAGAGAGAGATTATTTTTTATGTGGAGGAGAAAAAGAAGGTAAAATAAGAAACCTTAGATATTGAGTTTATAAACTTATTATCCAACTTGTTTTACAATTATAAATAAATATATTTTGAGGTTATCTAATATCAAGTTCCGTTGTCGTCCAGCGGTTAGGATATCTGGCTTTCACCCAGGAGACCCGGGTTCGATTCCCGGCAACGGAAATTTTTACTTTTCTAGAATTTTTATGCAGTTTATATTTTTTTCCTTTTACGGAATTTGTATTTTATTTTATTTTATTGTTTTTTTTTTTCATTTTATGGAATTTGTATTGTTCCTTTTTATGGAGTTTGTATTTTTTTCTTTGTGAAATTCATCTTTTTATTTTTTTTATGGAATTTGTATTTTTTTTGTGAAATTCGTCTTTTTATTTTTTTTATGTCAATTTGTATTTTTTTTTTCTTTTATGGAATTTGTATTTTTTTTTGTCTGTGAAATTTGTCTTTTTCTTATTTTATGCAATTTGTATTTTTTTATGAAATGTGTATTTTTCTTTTTTTTGTATGGATTTTGTCTTTTTGTGAAATTTGTCGTTCTTTTCTTTTTTCTTTTATGAAATTTGTATTTTCTTTTTCTTTTATAGAATTTGTATTTTTTTTGTTAAATTTGAATCTCTCTTTTTTTCATTATTTTTTTGTCTTATTTTTTGTGAAATTTGTCTTTATATGGAACATGTCTTCTTGTTGCTGATAATGATATCGACCACCATAAAATAATGTTTTTATAATGGAGGAGACTATTCCTTCCTCCATTGTTCCATTCACAAACAAACATGAAAAATATAATACTAAGTTTTACCCACTTTCACACAACCCATCTCCTAATAATGTAGGTTTTCCATTTGACTTTTGGGATGAAACCAGCCAATGCTAAACTATCACCTTCTCACATCCTACTACTCTTACTTTTAATACAAAGAAAAAAAAAAAAACAGTGTGTTGAGGGTCAAACTTACATGTCTATCATAATTTATTCAGAATCATAGCAAGGATGGTAAAGTAAGTCAACCATAAAATATAACACTCTAATCTAACTTCTTCTTTTATGATTTCAGTTAGTTTCACTACAACATCGGGGTTAGATTTGAAACCAAGTAGATCATTCTATAATATTTGATAGCACCAAAAACCTAGAAATTTTTCATGAGTAGAATTTTAACTATTCATATTGTGATGCTATGCAAACAATATATTGACTGAGTAATGCAAAATTATAGAAATCTGGTATTGAAACCATTAACACGATCAGATAAAATTATTATTAAGTATTTAAAAAATATATTTTATCTTCTAATTATATATATTTAAACTTGTAATTGAGAAAATGTATAAATATATTATTTGACTTAAATAAAATAAATTATCTTCACTTATTTATGATTTTAGATCCGTTTTGATACTAAGTCTATTTATATTATTTTTATATTTTATAGAGACAGTATAATATTTGTTTAGTAGCTTCTATTAGAATTGTTATGTTTAAGATTTCTTTTGACATGATGTATGTTTTTTACACTAACCAAATTTGAAACGAGTTTAGGAAGAAATTAATTTTGAAATGAGTTTGATACAATTAAATAAGTGCTAACTAATTACAAAAGAAAATTATTTGTTTTTCTTAGATTTGAAATAAGATAATAATGTTAGAAGATGTTAAGTTATTCGGGTTTCATTAGCAATAACCATAAGAAAGGAAGTGGTTGTCAGATACCAACAAAATTTTAAACGAACTATAATTTAAAAACATTATAACTTAATCATCAAAGTTTCATCAACTGTATTTTTAAATAGAGAAGAACAAGTAAATAGATGAAAAACTTTAAATAATCAAGAAGAAATAAAAGTATAAATAAAAAAATATATAAAATGAATGTAATAATTTTTTTTAGTTTGTTTGATTTTATTACTTTATTTATTATTTACTATTTACTTTGTCATTAATATTATTTTATTTATTATTCATTTTTTTTGTATAAGAAAAGACAAATGAGGGAAGGGAGGTCCATGATAATATTCTCTCATTCACATTCTCTTCCTCTCTCTATTTTCAACCCCACCAAACACTCCCTTAACCCCAACGTCCTCAACTCAACTTCATCTCACAAATAATTCACCTTTCCCATAATTTGTTGTTCAACTCAAATAAATTTCCATTGTCTGAAACATGCTCTACCCAACCTCTTCCCTTCTTCCTTAATCAGTTTGTCACCTTAGGGAGCCCAAATGTCTGTTGCCGAGCTCAAAGAGCGTCACTCCGCTGCCATCGACACCGTCAATAATCTCCGGCACCGGCTAAAGCAGAAGCGTCTTTCTTTGCTCGACACAGATAGTATAACCCTTATCTCTTTTCATTTCTTTGCTGGGATTATTAAATATTGTTTTTTGAGGTTCAACTTGTTGAGCATGGTTCTAATAATTGAACTTAGATCTTGCTGATTGAACTCTTTGTTTGATGGGAATTTTTCAGTTTGTGAGTATGCAAGGTCTCAGGGTAGAACACCTGTGACCTTTGGACCTACGGATCTGGTTTGCTGTAGAACCTTGCAGGGTCACACGGGAAAGGTACCCTTTCTTTTCTTTTTCTTTTTTTCTTTTTTTTTCTGCTTTTCTTTATTACATGTTATGCATGACTTGTTCTCAATGTTGGTGCTGAACTTGGTTGACTTTTCGGTTTCAAGAGCATCACGGTTGGTGCTTATCACCAGGCAATTCTTAAGTTGCTGAATATACTTATCAATAACTTCATCTCTGGATAAACTCCTCTGAAAGCATTGTAGTAGAAGATAATAAGAAGAAAAGAAAAATGAAATAAGTTGTTCTCACAATTCAAAATTGACATATGCATAAGCTAAAATTAGTTATAGGTAGCGTTCAAATGCTATCTAGCTTTCTTTTTACACCCTCCTCGTCAGCTGTGACTGGAGAGATAGTCTTATTCTGCCTACATAGCAGCAGTCATCATGATTTTGATATACTAATTAGTGATTATCGTAGATTTCTTCTTACCATCAAACTTGCAGAATTTAGGTTGACTTGGGATTCAATTCTAATTTGCAGGTGTATTCATTGGATTGGACTTCTGAAAAAAGTCAGATTGTTAGTGCATCTCAAGATGGGCGATTAATAGTGTGGAATGCTCTAACTAGGCAGAAAATCCATGCCATAAAGCTTCCCTGTGCATGGGTCATGACATGTGCTTTTTCACCAACTGGTCAGTCTGTTGCATGTGGTGGTCTTGACAGTGTTTGTTCTATTTTCCATCTTAATTCACCCACTGACAAAGATGGGAATCTACCTGTTTCCCGGATGCTTAGTGGACATAAGGGTTATGTTTCCTCTTGTCAGTATGTTCCAGATGAAGATACTCATTTGATTACTGGTTCTGGTGATCAGACATGTGTTTTATGGGATATTACTACTGGCCTTAAAACATCTGTCTTTGGAGGAGAGTTCCAGTCTGGACATACTGCAGATGTACTCAGGTATGTTAGTTGTTTGCAGAATTAGTTAACCATTTTCATTGTTTGAGCAATTTATTATCTCTTCCTTTGTATTGTGTTACTATGCCTACCTCCCATCTATTATGATAACCTACAAAAAGAACTACTGTCTCTGTACAAAACAAAACTTTACATCTAACTTCAAAATACCGAGACGAGCGGCCTCGTGAGATCATGGATGTTTGTTTTGTTTTCAAATATTTTTCCTACACAGTTCAACCTTTCATTTGGCAGTGCACAAATTTGAATGTTCTCAGTGTGCAATCAATCATTTTTTCCCTTTTTCTTGTCATATAAATGTGGGTAAGGGCAGGATTTGACCACAAGACATTCATGATAATATGTTAGTTAAAGAATCTGTTAGACATAATAGTATATTGGATATAGTTTCAGCATTTCTGTAAATTCAATGGATGATGTATTTGCCTGCTTTCATAATGAAGGGATGTCTGTGTTAGGAATCCAAAGAATAACTTTGTCGATTGAATGAAATTGAATAGAATCAAGGACAAAGGATTTGCTAATTACCTGCATGCCTTCTTCCCTCTATTTGTTTAACCCCGTATTGTGAACTAACTACTTTATCTGTTGCCAACATATTTCCCCTACCCTTCAGTTCCAACTCCTAACAATCTGTGCTGTTGATGCAAAATAATAAAAGAGAGCCAGTAGTAACTTACTCTTGTTGCTTTTGATTTATTGAATAAATTAATCTGCAAAAGAATGACCACTTCTGCTTCAAGGTACAAGGCATCTACATAAAATTATAACTTCCTTTCTACATGCATAAATTATGAAATCTTGTTTAAATACGGTGTTTCTTTTCAATATTATTTGTTAATATTAAATCGGTTCTGAAATATATATTATTGTTTTGTCCTCTCCCAGTATCTCCATTAATGGATCCAACTCAAGAATGTTTGTATCTGGTTCTTGTGATGCAACTGCTCGATTGTGGGATACTCGTGTGGCAAGTCGAGCAGTGCGGACATTTCATGGGCATGAGGGGGATGTTAATGCAGTTAAATTCTTTCCAGATGGACATAGATTTGGAACTGGCTCAGATGATGGTACCTGCAGATTGTTTGACATTAGGACTGGACACCAACTTCAAGTATATTATCAGCAGCACAGTGACAATGAAATCCCGCCTGTGACTTCCATTGCATTCTCTGCATCAGGAAGACTTCTTTTTGCTGGATACACAAATGGAGATTGCTATGTTTGGGACACTTTACTGGCAAAGGTACTTGGTACTATATCATTCTTCTGGTTGCACTAAAAATGAAATCGGCTTTAGTATTTTAACAGAACATATGTTTGCTTCTTTGCAGGTTGTCTTGGATTTAGGATCTCTCCAAGACTCTCATGAGGACAGAATCAGCTGTTTAGGTTTGTCAGCTGATGGAAGTGCTTTGTGTACAGGAAGTTGGGACACAAACTTAAAGGTGAGCATGCATTTTGCACTTATTGAATAAATCTTTGGTTATGTGATACACAGTTGGTTTACCAGTTTTTAAAATACCTTCTACTTGTGGTTGATATCCGCCTTATTAATCACTAGATTATAGGATGGAAAATCATTGAGGCAATTGAATTTAGAAGCCTTAGTTCCTCCACGGTTTAAACTTTATATAATTAGGAATTACCTTCATCCTCACCCAAATAAAAAGCAATATGTTGACAGATTCCTTGTGAGGTTTTAGAAATTTAATAACCACAACAGAAAGTTGGAACATCAAAACATGATTCCTTTAGTAATGTAAAGTGCGATGCCACTATTCTGTGGCTACCGTATTTCCTGAGTATCATCTACCACCCAGAAAAGCTTGCTGGTTAATTTCATATAAAGTGTAAAAGTGGTTGTTAGCTCTTGTTCACTAAATATATTTGCTAAATACTTGACCCTTGCAGATATGGGCATTTGGAGGGCATAGGAAGACAACTTGAGCGTTGAGGGATGTCAAATTGAAGACGAATTGCTTGCTCATACAACCCTTCATTTTAGGCTTGCAACTAGTGCGGCGGTTTGTTTGTGCTCATGTCCGTTTATCCATGTGTGTGATCTAAATAGTACTTTTTCCATTGTACTACCCGCTTCGGTGACAATACCTTAAACCAAAATGAAGGACTGTTTGTTTTCTAGTCTCTTCAGCGTACCACGGTTACCAATCCATCTTAATGATGATAATTATAATTATACTAAAAAAGTGATGAGCTACGGAGCTTCCTGAAATTGGCCCAAATTATATAACATCGAATTTTTTATTTGTTTTAATCAATATAAATGGTGTTTTTGTCAAGCAAAACCATAATGTAGGGAGCTATGAGCGCCACGTTTCGATTATGAGACTTGAGTATTCTGGTCGTGATTCAATGGTGTTATCATTGAATGCAGCCGCTTAAACCTATTCACTCGCGTATGCAGTAGCCAGTGCACATTGTAGATCAAAATTAGAGGCCCCATACGAATCTAAGATCAAACTTTTGTAACCAATAATCTGATGCTAGTTGCTGTTTTTATTTTATCTGATTGTAGAAAAAAAATACTTGTGGTGGTACTAGTGTTTGAAGTTGTAGCATTCATTGAATAACCTGATCGTGTGTGAATTTCTGAATTCTTATAAGTTAATGAATTATAGTGAATAAACTTAAGATAATTTAGTCAATGAATCTCTTATCGAAAACAAACCACACTCTCAATCACACAAATATACAGTGACTTATGCACTAAAAGTTGCTGTTGTAACAAATATCCAGAGAAAATAGATATTTATGCAAATCCCCAAAATTTGTATTACAGTTGCTACAAATAAATGAAGTATAATCATCACCATGGAAGCTTACTCCAATAAACCCGACTAGCAAGTATGGTTGCTAGTCTAACAAGCATGCAGTGGGTGATCAATAAATTGCATATACTAAGAAGGGTCAGCTTCAGAAGAATTCTTTACACACGGCTATCTATAAGGATGCTAAACTCCAATCTCAGTAACAAAAAGAAAGGCCGAGTTGAGTCAACATTTCTTGTCTAAGTGCACTAGCCGCTAGCCACAATCTCATGGATGGTGTCGCTGACAGTTTCATCCTCGGATCTGACAGACAGTTTCATCGCAACATCCTTTGGACCATCAAGTCCAAAAGACAACCGCACAAGCACCTTCACATTTCCTATGAATACACCTGACAACAAGCATGTGTGTGACCTTGAATTGGGGGGGACTACCTCGGTTCCCTGCAAATAGTGAACAACGAAATTACGTGAATCATGCTTTATTCATTTCATTTGAAAACTTATTAGGAGTTATGAAGGTAAAGAAATCTCTTGAAGCTCAATGGAAAGATTACACACTAAAAATCTAGATGTCAGATTCAGATATGACAATATTGACCACCTAATTATCTTTAAAGTTCTCTGGGCATACAATAGCGTTCATTTACATGCATTCATAGCCTCCTTGTGCCCGGATTTTGGCTCAAGGCTATTCAAAATCTTGGAAAGGAACTAGGCTGGGTGAGGGCAATAAAATCTTTGGTATTTGTTATGTTTTTGTCAGTATCCACTCGGTCTTGATAGTTGTGGCATAGGGACAAAGTATATCTTGCACTCAAATATATGGGTGGTCATGGATAGGTTATTCAAATATAATCATATTCAACTATAACTATGTACATAACTAGTGGATGATATAACCAAACTTTGGTTTGGTAAAACTGGTCCTAGTTTAAAAAGAAGTTATATAATCAGTTTAAACAATTAAAAAAAAACAATTTTTAAAATTCATTTTATATTTAGTACACTTTTACATTGGCTTTATGCTTTAATAATTGCACCATGTTTTACTTAATTTAAGGGTTAAAATTGAATTTTTAAAGGCCAAAACCAGTTATTAAACTAAAGATATAAAAGATTTTCGATACAACAGGTTATATAATTGGTTTAGGGCATATAACCGGTTATATAACTGGTATTTTAAAAATTATGCTTTGATTATAATATCTACTTGCCATATATGATTAATTTTGATAACTATTTACAATTAACTGGTTAGTAATGGATATGATTAAATTTTTAATAGCCATTTCTAATAACTACCCCTACACAAAAATCACCTAGGAATATCTTCTAATTAAGGTCACCTGTCCACATCAACGTGAATGTGTGCTCGCACGTGTCAACAGCGTTTACATGCATACAGAAGTGTTAGTGTGGCTTGAGTTGAGCAATGTGAATAGTTCAACTTCAAATCTTTCAAAGCAATTAGGTTGATCAAGTTATATGCATCCAATGCAAAAGCACATACGAGTAAATATTAAACCACAATTGTGTATGAGAAAGAGAACGTCAACTTTTGGTCTATAGCTATATCTAGTAAGTCATGCGGAAAATTAATTTAACCAACAGAACATTACCTAGTGATGCAGTAAAAATTGTACAAACGACTCATGACCATTATATTAATGGGACCGATCTCCTAACGACAAACATTTATCGAAGCAGCTATTGACATCATTGGCTTACCTCACAAGGCTGCATACCGAGAAGATTGACGACAGCATTTACAGCTTCAGCCAAACTCTCCCTGGGACCAAGACCATATTCGTCCACGCGCTCACAGTCAGGACCCATGCTTTCCCATGCACTTCTGAAATTAGACACCCCCACTTTCAATATGTAGTCTGATGTGACAACCTCCATATCCTCTAGCTGGTATTCATCCTCAACACCATCATCTTCTGCCTCACCAGTGGTCGGGTCAACCTGGTCAACATCCAACATACGAAGCATGATTAGGTTTCCACAAAATTATTATTGGTTTTAAGTTTCCACAAATTCCTTCCCAGAGAAAAATCAAAGAAGCTTCATGCTTAAAATAAACACCTCATGATATACACCAGGGTCTAGGACTACGACAAAGAAAAACCACAATGCTTCCCAAGGATAAAGGGTGAAGTACCTCTTTAACAATAAATTTCAGAACATTAGAAAATTTTCCAGCAACTGGCAATCCCTCGGGCTTCTCAAAAGCCACAAATATGTGGCCAGGTGAATCATAAGGAAGAGATCTAAGAGGTTTTGAGAACACCTCAGAGAACTCTTCTGCTTCCGATGCATCCACAATTACAATAACCTGGAATAGAGGAAACAATTAAACACAAGACCTGGAGTTGCATTATAGTATGAAATTGTACAGTATCTATATTAGTCATTACATCTTCCAATAATTGTTCTGGTATTGTGTTTGTGCAGTTGTATTGAAACACGACATGCCTATCAAAAATGTGTTTGACAACATTAACTGCATATTCCGTCTCCGCTTCAGTAAGCTCCACAGGTTCTGAAGACTGGTAAGAATAACATCATAATAGTACATAATACATATGGAAAGAAAAAACATAAAATATTGATTGTAGCACAAGAATAGGGTAAAATAACCTTAAAAAGCTTCCCAAAGTTTACAAACTCGGGAATGGATTGAAGCAGTCTTGCATATGAATCGGTAGTAGATGAGGGACCACTAGGAGGAGCACCCAAACCGGTAGGCTTTTTACTAGAGGCTTTTTTCTCTGCAAGAGGTTGAGATTTAACCTCCCTGGGCACTGAATTAATGTCAAAAGCCTCTTCTGAAGGCTCCTGCAGTCACATTAAAAACATGCAAATGTCCATAAGACCATAACCAATGAAAACCAAGAAAATAGGGACAACTTACAAAGTTTTTCAAACTAGTCTCCAGATTGACAAGTGGGATATCAAATGACCCAAAGAGGAAATCTTTCACATCTTTATCTGTCTCAACAACTCCACCGTCACCTCCAAGTGTGTTCAAATAAAGTGTTGCTCGGTCGCGAACCTGCAAAAAAATCAAAATCAATATAAATCAAAACAAATAATAGTTTTGAAGTTTAAATGGCTCCAGAATCGCAAATTGTTATGACAGAAAATCACCTCATCGTCACTGTCAAAAAGACACCGCCTTAGCAGTACAAATATGCGGGGCTGGAAAGAGTCACTACGAGATTTAATTTAATCACAAATATCACCCTAAAAATCCTAAAATGTGTAGGACAAATGTAGAGAAAATAATTGATGACCCGAGGATAGTAACACCTTTAATGCATCAACAGCTGCACCAAACTTTGCCATTGTGCTAACAGCACTGGCCCTAACAGTCGCATTCTCAAGATGTACTCTGTTATAAATATAACGAATATATTTGCTGGGGTCAGATGTTTTCGGCCCTTCAACTCCCAAGAAGTGCAGAATCTAAAGGATAGTGAGAGAAATTAACAAAAGATACAAATCCAAAAATTCCCACAGTAGATGACAAAGGGCAAACCAAATTTACTACCTGTGTGGACAAATAAGTGAATTCACAATCTTCAATAAACTCACAAAGATGAAGCAACCCACTTTCCTTGGCATCAGGGATATCTCTAATAAGAATCACAATTGAATCTACAATTGCTTTCTTGTAATCAAAACCACCTTCTTCCCTAAGAATATTACTTAGGAAATTCATCCTGAAAATAACAAGAGAAAAGAAACCAGTAATTTAGATTAATTATCTAGGAAAAACATTCAAATAAAAAATGTAACTTCTGGGGGAAAAGAAACCTATAGAATGACATATACTCACAGAGATCTATATTTTAAAGGGAATTTCAAGCACAGTGATCTTATTGCTTCGACAACAACAATTTTGAATTCATCAGCAATATCAGACATGAAATTTGTAATCTGCTTCATAAGACGGTCCACACTAGATTCATTTCCTGTCTTCAGTAGAGTAGTGATGGCAAGTGTGGCAATGCTTCTGTTCTGGTCAGAGATTAAACTTTCCATGTCAATATTGCAGTTAGTGACTGCCATTGGATGTGTCATCGCCACCTGCAAAGTTCAGAGCCACATTCAACCATGCAACTAAAACGGTCATTCCAGTTTAACACATCCTATGACATTAGCTACATCAATATGCTAAGGGAAATAGGTAGATTTGATGATTTTCTATCAAATTCCCCAAAACCATAGTAGGCAAGAAAGCAAAATGCGCACTTCAGAATGGATGCTGTCATATATCCTTTGTCAAATTTTATGGAAGTATCAAAAGGTATTTTCACTGAAATCTGTCATTAAAAAAAGGTAAACCTTGTTCAAGGTGCGGACAGCAGCAAATCTCAAGACTGGCTTAGATGAACTTAAGAAGAGCTGAAGAACTGTAATTGCTGGAGTTAATTCTCGGCTAGTTACTCCATTGAGCTCTGTAATTGCCCTGGCTGCTTCAAAAATCACCATTTCTGACTTGTGACGAAGGCAACTCTCAAGATAATCATAGAAGGGGCGGTCTCCTGATTGTGTATTATTTCCTGACTCCCTAATTACCTGCAGTTATTATGCTATATCAAGATTACTGAAATAATAATCAATTCAATTGGAGCTATAAATTCAAAGGAAAACACACCTGACTTGTATAACGGATTAAAAGGCATTGGGCCAAAGGAGAGCGAACATTTCCCCTGGTCAAGCTGGTAACCAGCTTGCTAACAGCTAGTCGATCATTCTGCCGTATCTGCAATGTTGTACGTCAACATGTGTCATTGTCAATACTCTCTATATAATTAACTATTTTACAATAATAAAAGTAGGATCCTCATAATGTAAAAGCAAAATTACAAGATGTAGAATTTCCATCATAATCACGCTCAAACAGTAACTCCACAAGACAAATATATACCATTAATGTGCAAAAGTTTATATTAATTTAAAAAAGGTTGAAAGCAAATAAAAGTGATAGAAAAACTGTTCACAATCCGCTTCTAAAATACCGCTGCAGTTGAAGCTAAGAGCATGAATAGGAGTACAGTAAGGTCTTGGTCACAGGAGGTAGTATAAAACCATATAACGGAGAAGAAACCAAAAAATCAATATGAACTTCAGTAGTTGTATTTTAACAAAAACTGAATTTCCTATATTTTTTGTAAAATCAACTTAGTGAGCTTATGCAGAAGGCAAATCCTTTAGATAAAAATGGATAGTTAATAATCCTTGATAGTAGCATGTAGCAGCTGACCCAAGAAACACTAAAGCAAGGTGGCAGCTATTAGGATGGCCACTATGCTGAAAATCTTTATACAGTTTATATGGGGTGTACAATAAAAAGTAATACATGTCACAAGAAAAATATACAAGTAAATACCATAAAAAACCATGGACCATGATGCCAATTACTCTTATTATTGTATCTACACAGGACTATTGTTGCCATTACTAGTCGAAACACAGACACATCTACGTCTGTATGTCAGCAGTTTTATTATAATTTTTATTTTAATTTATTATAAGTTAATGTATATTTTTTTTAAATATAAATATTTATTCCTCAAATTATGAATTGTTGAAGACAAATAATCGTGAGTTTAAAGAAGAGAGAAACTAAAAAGAACGTGTAATTGAGGGAGTAAAGAATAAATGACATTTTTTATTATTTTTATTTATTATTTTATATTTGAGAGAAAAGATTGAGGAAAGAAGATACAACATAACTATAAATTATATTTTTTCTATCGCCTGTGGTACCAAAAACCGGTTACAAAAGAAAATCTCCTTTATCTATTGTTATAGATCATTTATATTTAGTTTAGTATATTATATTTTTATGCTTTTATAAGAAAACGAAAAGGCCAAAGTGGGCTCAATGAGGCCCAGTGAGTCACAATTAAAAGAGGAGAAAATTCATTAAAAAAATTTGGGCCCATTGGCCAAATTCCCCCAACCTAATGCACAGCAAAGTGCAGACATATTGGCAGAGTATATAGATTGCAGATGAGGGAGGAGATGGAAGAGACGGCAGCCACAAAATGACACTTGTTTCAGGAATCAGGATCCCAAGAAAATCCCTGAAACAACACTGGTTTCAGGACCAAAGCAAGATTCAATTCATCTTCTGTTTCGAACCTGTTTAGACTGCAATTTTAGCTGTAAAATGAACCTCTCTGCACCTCTCTGACCAGGGACAATGCAATGCAACCACCATTGGAGGAATGGTAGGGTGCCATTCCATGATGGTGTAATAGTGCCACCATTGTGCTGCTGACTACTACCTAAAAATGTATTGATTGGTAAACCATTGAAAGGTTGTCATGAAACAATAAGCAGTTAGTAAAGGCACATGGTTCTCATTCACTATCTATGCAAGTACCCTTGGGGCTAAAAATGTGAACAACACAAGCACACCTATTTTGTGTTTCAATTGAAAATTTATTCAGAAAATGGGGGGCAATAAGGATCACACTCTGTTCTACTTGGTCATAGGAGCTCTAATATCATTTCAAGAACTATCTACCCCAAAAGCTTAAGTTCTTAGCTAAAGACATGTGAAAAACTTTTATATCTACCAGGTTTAACACAGTTAATGAAAGAAAAATTCATACTAATTGTTCAATGATTTTTCATTGTGATAAAAAAATTGACCAGGCAAAAAGTACTCTTGCTAGATATCCCAGCAGCTGATGAATTTTATTACAACAGCACTAATTTAGAAAATGGTCTGATAGCGCAACAGAGATTTTGGTTTTCATGCGGAATTTATTGTAATACACCAACAAACATAATTATTACAATCTTACAATTAATGATTTGACTCACAATTGGACTAGTCAATCATTGATATCATGTGAAGAATCACAGATAGCTATGAATCCTAAATACATAAATGAATTGAATGATTCTGTATAACCAATATGAACCATACAGTTTGACAATTCATTGTCAGTTTATTTTTACTTTACTTTTACAACTTCTTATCAAACCTTTGAGTTGATATACTTAAAGAGTTAAATGAAAAGAAACTGAAGGAAACTTTTAGAGGGCCCTATTTGATCAGTCAGATCAGATCTCTATTTCTATTATACTAAATTTGGGCTTCACACCATCAATCACTCATTTTAGCACTATATTTGGTTGTTTCATTGCTCTATTTTTAATATACTAAAGTAAAGGTTTCACATAATCAAGTATGACTTATGATTTTGTTTTGTCAGACTTGTGGCTATTTTTTTGGTTTTAACTTATTTCGTTGAGAATTAAACCTCATATAAATGAAAAGGAACACTTCCGTCACTCATTTGTTTTATGCACTATATTGGATTGTTCCATTGCTCTATGTTTAATCTTCTAAAATAAAGGTTTCACATGCTCAGCTATGAATTATGATTTTGTTTTGAGACTTGCGGTGATTGTATAGTTTAAATTTTTTTACTTTAAGCATTACACATCATCTATAAGACATATTTCAATCTATTTTCAATATATTTTTTAATCTTACAATCCCATGCAGTTATGATCACAAATCATAATTCAAAAATTAGCCTGTGATGCAAATATGAATGAGAAAGTTGTGAAGGGGCCCAACGTATTTGCCAAAGTATATGCTAGAAGGCCTAAACAAGGGATAGGCTTTGAAGAGAGAGGGAAAGGAGGGAATATTTTTACTACTAACTCGGCCTAGCTGGCAGAGTAAGAGGGAGGCAGAGAGAAGGTACTTATTGAGGTAAGTACGTGAGGAAGAGGGCGAGGAAATACGGGAATAGGTTGTGGGTGGATTCTGGCTATTCCTTTGCAAGAATACATGTTTCGTGTTCTATATTCAAATAATACAAACACATTTCTCAACATTTGATCATAATGTATTTGCTAGTTGATAATTACCTATCAGCTTGACAAATCATGATTTGAGTTGTGATTAAACAAGCTTGCCAAGAAACTACAACATCAAACCATTCAGGCCACATACCTGATGCAGCAATGCTAGTGCATGAAATTGCACAAGAGCTGCCCTTGACTGAACAGCTTCCTGAACCTCATTGCTCCACCTTTTTACAATCTCTGGAGTTGTCTGATAAGGGGGTGTAAAATAAGCAAGCAGCATACATGAAATATAAAGAGATGAGGAGTTACAAATAGATTTTAACAATACCTGGAGCAGATGAATGCCGCTAACTAAGGCTGCACTTGCAACAACTGGATTCTTATCCACAATTCCTTGTTTAAGATATCGCTCAATTTGGGTGAGGAGTGTTCCATCTGTGATGCGACAAAGGACACGAATAGAATTAGCCTTGTACATATCAGTCTTACTAATCATGTCCTTCATGAGGGAGCTTGTAACGATAATAACCTATTAAAAAAAAGGAAGACAGAACAGTTACAATCTCTGTATGTAATACACAAACCATATATGTGAATTTGACTGGTAATAAAAATTATATAAGAATTTTAAACCTCATCCGCAGAGGGGGAAAGTTCCTTTATTATTAGGTAGACCATTCTCCTTAACCCAAGATCTCGAGACTGGAAAAGCTTAGTCACAGCAAAGAAAACTTCTGTGGCTTCGACCTATGATATTACAAGAACACCATTACTGAAAAGGGAAAGGGGTTCATGACAACTCTATCATGGTACTCAAGGCCATTCTACAAACAATCAGAAATCTGTGAAATAGAAAACACAAAGGAAAACCTCTTGACCTTTGTAAATGTCTCTCCTTGATTCAGTAGGTATAAAAGTTTCGTGATAACCTGGGAAAAAAAACAAAGATAACGAGCATATGCAATGTTGAATTCAGCCACTGATTAACAACAGAATGAAAACATACTACAAATTGAATCATTAATATGACGAAAAACCTGTGAACATCTCCTAGCATCTAATTGCGGGTCATTAAAAACCCTGGCCTCCTGAAGAACAGCTCCCTTTTCAATTCCCAAAAAGGGAGAATACTCAGCTGTTAAAAAAACCAAAACCAATTAATAAATATGAGCATTAAGCCATTTATAATACATGCAGGACTGATCACAATACACCAGCCTGACTTGTGGACCAAAAAGAGAAGGAAAAGAGTCACAAAAATCTAGACTATATATCAAGAATCAATTCGTCAATCATCACATAAATCTGCTCAAACAAGCAATTGCAATTTGCGAATTATTAATGATCTGCATTGCAACCTACACACCTGGATCAATTAAACTTTCTAAAACGACAACGTATGAGAGGTAAGTCGGGGTTCAAATCCAATCAAACCATCATGATCTGTGCAAACCCTACCACATTTGCAATGGGAAAGGGAAATTGAACATTGGATCTGGATGCGAGAGAGAGTGATCCCGCAGTGGCAACAAATAGAGAGCTAGACGCAGAGCATTTGCACAAACAAAGAGCAGATCGAATTGCGAGAGAGAAAAGCATGAGAATGAAATAAGCACCTTCGTCGTCGCGGTCATCGTCCTTCTTCACGAGTGGTTGAGCCATGAGCGAAATCTACAAGATCTGGAAAGTGCGCAATCTGAACTCTGCAGGTGCCCCTGGACTGCGAGTGCACCACTCAAGCTTACACAGAACGAAGAAGAAGAAGAAGAAGAATGGATCGTCAACAGAACAGAAGAAACAGAGAACAAGGCTTTGTAGTTGTAGTATGAGATTCCACCGTGTTACTCTCTCCCCCTTCGTACATCCAAATTTATTATTATTCTTGCATTTCATCTCTTTCATTTATCTGACATATTATTTATCCTATATTTACTCTTTTTGATTTATTTCATTTTTCTTACCACACTGATCTGGTATGGTTAACAACAAAATTTATATTCTTAATTAATAAATAATTAAATAATCTCAAATTTATACATTTTTATTTATAATGAAAATTAACTAATAAAATATAATGTAGTCAAAATGGTAAATTTAAGAATGTGTTGTTAGTTTTGTTTATTTATTTATTTACACTTATTTCAACTGTATCATCAACTGTAAACAAAATTCACCACTGAAGGAATGTAAAAATAATATATATATATATATATATATATATATATATATATATATATATTTTGTTATTAGGATTTTTCATTGCAATTTATGTTTTTTCATTCTTTGATTTTTCTCACAATCATTCTTAATATTTTCTAATTGTCCATTTTAGTCTTTATCATCAAAATTTGTGAAAGAACGCGAAATTGATAGTATTACATCATGATTGCAGGGAGGAATTAAGGGGATCAGCGGCATGAAAAAAGACGTTAATCTAGTTCATAACAAATGCAACAGGTTACACATCTCACTCAGATAAATTAAAAAATATTATATTTATAAGTTAAAATAATTAATTATAATCAATAATTTAAATTTTATTGATTATTTTTATAATTTAAATTATAATATTATAATATATTTATATATTTTAATAATATAATACAGATAAATATAATATTTTTAATTATAAATTTTTAATATAAAAATGTTTTTTAAAAGCAAGTTAATCTATCTTATCTATTCTTAATTTGTTGAGTTGACTAATTAGACGGACTGATCAAATAACGATGGATTAATATATAATATTTTGTTTAAACTAATATAACTTTAATAAATTATAAAATTTATTATATAAAATTATATAATTTACTTAACAAAGTTTTACGTAATTTAAAACAATTGTTTATATGTCTTAGTATAATCTATTATGGTCATATAATCAATTATATTTTTCAAATTAATTATAATTGTTATAATGATACAACACAAAATCTATCAAATAAATAGTTGGTATAACTTATAATAACCAATTAATTATATTTCACAATAATCCAAATCTTGGAACAAATTGTACAAGTTGTTTTAAGATAAATGTCATTATAGAAGTTGCTTCAAGCTACTTTATGTATATGGAAGAAGAAGGCAACTTTAATAGGATATCAATGAAGGAACTCCTAACTCAATTTCAACATAGTATTCTCATGGAAGTATATGAGTGAAGACAAGAAAAGTCAAGTGTTGTTGATATATATAATGTTAAAAAAGTATTATACTAAACTCACCCAATGTCTATATAATGTTATGATTAAGTTAAACACACATGTTTGACTATAATGTTTTTTGCTAAAATTTGGCAAAGAAAGTGACAATATGTCATTGTAATAATGTGTTAGATTGGCATCGAGGGAGAAATAGGTAAAATATTAATAAATTTTGAGAAGAATCATCTTATATTAATCTGTGTTGATATTGCTTTTTAAAGAATTTGTGTATAAAAAGGAAGAGGTCTAATTATTGGACAATCTAAGTATGAATTTAAATATCATATTGAATAAAAATAAGAAAGTTGAGTAACATATATAAAAAAAATTCATAATCCAACGCTTTCAAGTACTGCATTAAAGACTCGCTGTGACCTAATTTTTTTCTTTATCAAATTTGTATTTTCTCTTCATATTTTCTATTTGACTTAATGTCGATTAAGATATATTTGGATCGTTACAATATGAATCGATTTTACCTAATCTATCTCAACTCATTTTAAAACCACTTAACCGGGATAAACATGACCTAACCCATCCAAGTTGGTCAACCCAATCCATCATGCATTAGTTTAACCCAACTAAACTCGTTTTGGCTATACCTAACACATTTTAATCATACTCGACTCATCTCAACCTATTCATTATTGACCTAGTCTATCTTGTCTTGATTTGACCTAACAACCTAATTTGATCTATCCTGAACTGGCTCAATGCTACTTAACATGTCATAACTTGATCAAATCCTTTTTAATCAAGCTCGAGCTAATTGTCTAGAGTAAACCTGACCCATTTTGACTTAATCTAACTCAACTTATCTTTACATAGTCTAATTCATTCTGATCGAGTAAAACTTATTCTAACTTGACTTGTCTTAAAATGGTTTAACTCATTCTTACAAAGTTTGACTCGGTCTGACACGTCTTACATAGCTTGACATGAGTCGACTCAATTTAATCTTGTGTAGCTTGACGTGGCCAATCCGATCCAACCTAATATAACCTTCCTAACAGAATACAACTTGTCTCAATTAGGCCTGACCTTATCATCCCAGTTGTCTCGATCTAACATGTTCCGGTCTAACCCATCATAACCTAACACATGTAGGTACAAGTCAAGTACTATGAGTTAAGCCTCATTGATAAATATAGTGATGGATTTTTTTTTGTATTTAATGATAAGTAAAATACTTTATATAGATAAGAAAATTAAAATTCAATAAATTTGAACTATCTAATTGAAACAAATGATTTGAAATGTTAAATAATTTAAATTAAAGAAATTCAAATTCAAGTATATTTGAATTTCTTGAAAATTACAAAATATCTTATCCAAAGAAGGTGAATGACATGTAGTTTGAGAGATTTGAAGTTTTTATGTATCATCTTTTATAATATATTTTAAAACTATGTAGAAAAAGTAACATTAATACATTAAATGACAATTAATTTATGAACTTCTTGATTTCTTCGTAGAAAAATTAAACATAATGAATTAAATGATATTTATTTAGTTTATCAACTTGATTTCTTAATATAATATGCTTATAATAGTAAAATTGGTATATCTATTATCTATTACTAATCCCACTTTGTAGCATTGTCCTTTTCTTTTTTAAGTCTTTTATTTTTAAGATGTGTCTATATACCTTAATAAATACATTGTCTTTCTTGCACAAATCCTATTTGTCTTTCTTTTAAACAAAGTAATATACTTGAAGAATATATAATATTAGGAAAAATATATTTGTTTATATATTAAAGTTTTCTATGAATGATATATTACATAATAAAGAAAATAAAGAAAAACACAAGTTCATTTGAGTTATTGAATAAGATAAATAACTCATATCTTTTTCCTTTTTTTTCTTTGCTTTCTCTATGTAACGATGTGCAAAAATAGTATGATTGTATCAAAGTTATAAGTCATTCTTGTGTAATTTTTTTTTTAATTGTACTTCTTCGTCAACAACACTTGTAAATTCATAAAACCTTACAAATACATCAAACACTTATTACCTTCACACATATGAAAATTCTCTCATTTTTTTTATTCATTCTCTATTAATAAAGACAAATCATCTTAAATGAGAAAAATCTAAGCAAAAGTCTTTTCAATAGAAAAATAAATTGTAATTTATTTATGGAAGTCTTCCTCTTTCAAGGAGATCCTTTTTATAAAACATGAAATTATTGTAATAAGACAGTAGTTTATTGGCTTCATAGTGCAATGATAATTCTTATTGCTCAATGTGTTCTCTTAATGGATTTAGTAGTTGATAGATGGAACTATGTTCATGAATAGATTTTTGTAAGGAGATCAATTTTATATTGCATCCTCAAGAAGAGATATATATAAAAACAAGGAGATATGATTATGTTTGAATATTGCACAAAATTAGAGATATTTTGGAAATAATTAGAAATGTTTAAATTATTGTCTCAAAGTTCTCGCAGAAATCCTTATAATTGTAATATTGTTAATATTCTAGAACCTATAACAAAAGTTATGATATAATATTCTTATGTAGTCCAATAATGACGTATGATCTCAAATTATGTTAATGGATCCTATTTCATTTATCACAAGAAATTTCCCATGATTGTTAAGCAAGAAAATGATTTTGGAATGTCAGTTATTATTGACAATAGTAAACTAATAATGAATGTTGTGACCAATCAATGTGACAACAACTCTTAGAATGTTCCACAAAATAATTATATTGTAGATACATGAATATCAAAAAGCATGGTTTTCCACCATTTAATTAGGGACTATGAAGTCTATTAATATGGTTGAATATGTAAAAAGTCAAGAGAATATTGTTACCTATTAGGATAATTCATTAAAATTTGAGTTTTCAATCACTCAAGATCAATATAACAACTTCATGACTTTGATTCAACAATAAACTATTTTTTAGACTCATGCTTCAAACCATATTTGTACTTCTCAAGCCAATACAATCAACTTAAGTATAACCTATTATCATTGGGTTTTAGACCTAAGGGTCGCAATCATAATACTATAATAAAAACCTTTTCTTTTATATTTATAATATTTCTCCTATATCAATTTATTTGCTTAATGGAATTTAATTAAGTTTTAATCAAATTAGTATGGTTCAACATTCTCTTTCACTTGTCTTGATCAATATGTTCATTCCTTTAAGGTTGGTTTAATTTTTGTTCTAATATTGTCCATGAATCATAATTTCTAACACTATTTCATTTATCCATTTAATTAAGATGAAAAAAAAAATCGATTGCGAGGTTCTTCTAATATAAGGTTAGTAATATTAATAAAATTTGTAAAGATACTAACAATGCGAATCTTTGACATTTTAGAATGTTTTCTCCTAATAGATTTAAAACTCTACGTATGTATTATTGAAATAATTATGATCATTTTGATGTTTGTCATTATGTCAAGCGAAACAAATTATCTTTTTTCCATTTAGTAAAAGTAAATCAAATTTGTTTTTCAACATATTATGACATTAATTATTTTAATAATTTATTCTATTTTTTATAATGCTGCTTTATGAAACCTTAATAATGATGTGTACCCTCAAGCAATTAATGTTTTTACTCATCTTAAAGGAAAATAAAGATACTTAAGGATTATCATACTAATCTCTCTTCTTCAAAAGTAGTTACTAATCTTTCTTAAGGTACTAAATATGACATTTAAAATTACCTTTCTTATCATAATCGCTTCTATGCATATTCATCTTTTTTGTACCAATCTTTCTTCTATCTAAGAATGAAAATGCTTTAAAGAAGTTGTTCAACATGATTGTTAGAAAGAAGTCATAAGTCTTAAACTTACAACTCTTGATTCTAATGAAACATGGTTTTTGATGAATTTGTGAAAGGAAGCACCGTAGTGGATATAAATAGCTCTACAAAGCTAACCATAAACCAAATGGATTTATAATTAAAATCTATTTAATTCCAAAGGCTTATAATAAAACAAAATAACTTAACAATTTTAAAACTTTTTTCTAATTATAAAGATTATCACACTTAAATTTATTTTAGATTTAGTCATTATTAAGGGTTAGTTTCTTTATTACTTAAACGTGAATAATGTCTTTTTACATGAAAATCTTTATAATAAAATTTACATGATCTCTTTTTATAGTTTAGTTCTTTTATATTTAAATTTATAAATTTTATAGTTTAGTTCTTTTATATTTAAATTTATAAATTTAGAAAACCTCTGCATGGGTTAAAACAAGTTACGAGGCAATGGAATTCTAAATTAACCTAGACTTTGATTCATCTTGGTCATGTTAAAAGTACAACTACTTATTATTTATTTGTTTGTAAAATCACTTATTCCTTTATTTATAGTATTACTTATTTATATCAATGATATTGTGTTAGCTTGGAATTATCTTTAAGAAAATTAATGTATTAAATCTCATCTTGATGGCTCATGTAACATCAAATATCTTGTTAATTTTAAATATATTTTTGGTTTTGAAATAAATTATTCACTCTCTAGACTTATTCTTAATAAAAATATTACTTAAATCTTATTTCTAATAGTAGTTTATTAGTTTGTAAACTCATTACTTCTCTCATAATTTATAAACATATATCTCACTCTTATTATGCCTAATTTTAGCTTTATTATTAGTAAAGTAAATCAAATTTTTTTAGGCTCACATGATTATCATATAATTACAACTCATTGTTTTAAAATAATTGAAAAGGAACCTTTCTTTAGATATTTTCATTAACATTAAAATGTTTGTATGTAAAATTCTTTAATTTTCTAAAAATAAAAAAATACAATATTTTAAAATAGAAAAATATTAATTCAATTCTAGAAAACCAATTTGTAAAATAAGATTTTTATCTCAATTATAAATTATAAGTTAATTATATTTTTACTCAAAATAAGATTTCCAACATCTTTAAAGATAAAATATGGGACACTTACTTTAATGGTTTGTAAACTTCCATGGTTATAATATTTACAAATATTAATATTTATATTATTTTTATTATGTGATATTGCCAATAATTTTATTTTGGTAAAACTCTAAACAGGTCTTATTAAAAGATCATATTTTTTATTTTATTTACAAGTGATTAATTTGTCAACAAACTTTTATTTCTACTTTTTTTCATAAAATTTATCCAAATATATATATATATATATATATATATATGCTCTGAATTGAAAAGTGATATTAGATAAAAATAATAATTATAATAATAATAAAGTCTACCTAATCATAATTCTAATTAATTTTTTGTCATACAATTAGTTATCTAACGCGTATTTATACTTACATTTTTTTCTTATATAAATTATGTATAATTAATTATGTTACACGTGTTTTTTCTCTTACACTATTTTTTATTATTTTAAAATTATAACAAACTTATAGAAAACTTGTAATTTCTTTAAAAAAAATTACTAAAAAAATATAAAAGAACTTGCTTCCATAAAATTGAAGTGCGAATCTTATTTAGAACAAGTCTATTAAGTTAATTTTTTGTATTATTTTTTTAGTCTTTAGTGAGTTATATAAGGTGGTAACTACCCACTCTGTCACAGTCAAGCATATTTGAAGTGTCTGAGAAATGAAAGATTCTAGGTCTTGAAAAAAGACAGTTTACTGCATTGAATTTTAAAAATAACAAGTTAAATAATAAAAAAATCTTTCAAAATTTTTAACAAAGTATCATTTAAATATATTCAATCAGTGCTTGCGGTGAGAGTTGGTATCTTGTGTGAAGTGTGGTTTACGCTATGACACGAGTTTCTGAGTCTTGGTGCAAACTTTAAGGCTATAATAATAATAATAATAATATTATTTGGTAGGAAATATTCAATCTTAATGTTAAACAGTAAATAAGTTTATTTAGTTTGGCTTGAATGTAATAATTTTTTAAATTAAATTTTATTTATGTAAAGTAAATATATTTATAATTACATTTTCATAAATTATTTTAAAAATATAATAATTTAAAATTTAAAATAATTTGCAGAGAAATAATTGTGGGACCTGATGTGAATTAGTCCCAGCTGTCAGCGAGGGAGGGAATATTCGCGAAGAGAGAGAAGAAGAGTTTGCATTTGCAACATTGCATACAGAGACGTTGAGTTTGGAGGTGCAGAGAGAGAGAGAGAGAGCGTAGCGCACCGCACCGCACCGCAAAGCAACGACTTAGTCAAACACTCCGTAACTCTTTTTTTTTTTTTTTTTCTTACTTTCTCCGATCGCATCACTCGCCACCACCATGCCTTCGCGAAGAAGAACTCTATTGAAGGTCATCATTCTCGGTGACAGCGGGTTCGTCTCTTACTCTTTCCATTTCTAGGGTTTCTCCTTGCACAGATCTCTTCTTTCTTCGCGCTTTCCAATCTCTCTCTTCACTCTCCCTTCGCTTTTTTTAATTCCTTTTTGCTTCTGAGTGGTTTATATTGTGGAATTTTTCATGTTCCTGTTTGGATCACAACAACTATTGCTTCCATTACTTATTTCGCATTTCCAATTGCGCTTAGTCGATTTAGTTTGACCGTTTCTATCGGTTATTTTTTCTTTATTTCTTTTGAAATCACTGTATGATGCTGCTGTTGATACTTCGCAGGGTGGGGAAGACGTCTTTGATGAACCAGTATCCTTCGGTTTCTGTGTAGAAACTCCGTGTTTCTACTTATTATTATTGTTTTAATTTTCAATGCAATTTGTTTTCTAGGGATTTGTTTTGTTTGGAAACTGTGTATTTCCCTAACCTATGTAATTTAGATATGTGAATAAAAAGTTTAGTAATCAGTACAAGGCAACCATTGGAGCGGATTTTTTGACCAAAGAAGTGCAATTCGAAGATAGGCTTTTCACCTTACAGGTTTGTCCATACTGCATAGGTTGTCTATGCAATTCATTGAAGTGACTACATGTTTGGGCATTGAGTTTCGGTGAGATGGTGGATATTTGGAATGTTGCAAAGGGGGGCAGCAGATACTGATTATGTTGGATTCTCGCCTTTCTGATGTTATTACCTAGATTTCCCTATCCTATTATGTGTCATGTTATTTGCTGATGTGGCGGAGGAATTCGTGGATTGTAACCTCCTTAATGATAGGTTTTACACATTTTGATCTAGCAAGCTATAAAGCCCGTGGAAATAAATTGTCTAATTGCCAAAGTATCATATATACGTTCACATCAAACTTATTCCATTATTTATAGTTTGTTGGATTAAGTTTCTCTAGTAATTGCTCCTAATAACGTGAATGTGTATGTTTGTGTGGAATTCCATCTGTGTAACACTAATCCAACGCTCACATTGCTTTTGCTTTGTGTGCATCAGAATGTGGAAACCTCCATTTAACTCCAATCAAACACGTCTCAGACGCACTCTAAATTATTTTGAAGTATAGGTTTTTGGACTTTGTGGAAATGGTCTTGTGCATAGGATGTGGGTAGTGCAAGGTGCCATCTCCTTGCATTTCTGAGAAACAAATCATCCCATTGTTTTTCATGTCATTATAGTATGTCTTGTACATGTGGCGGTTGTGACTTTAATGTGGACTTCATCATAGTATACAATAAAATGGTTTTATCAGTAACATTTAGCATATTTTCTTTGGGATGTTATAGAGATTGAATCTAATGGTGGGATAGAGAGCTAAACTATTTTAAAGATAGCTAGATTTCACATGATGGATGGATAAATTGTTTGGTTGCTCTCTTAAGAACCTCTATGGAGGCATTCTAGTTGAAAATTGTGATTTGCGCGTAACAAGTGTCATGTACTACAGTCACACACTTGTAGTATAACTATGTTTCTAATGATGAATGGATAAATTGTTGTGTTACTTAATGGAGGCTTTCTAGTTGAAATTGCGATTTGCAAGTGACAAGTGTCATCAAATTACAGTCACACACTTGCAATGGAACTATATTTCTGATGATTGAATGGATAAATTGTTATGTTGCTCTCTTAAGAGCCTTAATGGAGGCTTTCTAGTTTAAATTTGCGATTTGCAAGTGACTAGTATCATCGTACTACAGTCACATACTTACATTATGAAACACCTATTAACTTTGTTTCTTATCAAAATTACGTTTGCGCTTTATTCTACTTCTCACATTTCAATTTCCGTGTTTTTAAAGTTTCAAGTTACAATATCAAAAATTTTATTTTCTTATTAATTTCTATGTTCTTAATTTTACAGATTTGGGATACAGCTGGCCAAGAAAGATTCCAAAGCCTTGGAGTTGCTTTCTATCGAGGTGCTGATTGTTGTGTTCTAGTATATGATGTTAATTCAATGAAATCATTTGACAACCTTAACAACTGGAGGGAAGAATTTCTGATTCAAGTATGCTTTTCTTTTGTCAATTTTGTCTATTATTGAAAGCAATGTTGTACAGAATTTGCAACTATTAATTTAATATTTGTGATAACTTTGGCAGGCAAGTCCGTCCGATCCAGAGAATTTTCCTTTTGTTGTCATAGGAAACAAAATAGATATTGATGGTGGGAACAGCAGAGTGGTATTTCCCCCCTAGAGTTTGTTATCTTCAATTTTTATTTTCTCTTTCAAAAGATATCCCACATCTGACCCACTCAGACTCGGGAAACAGCTAAACACATAATGCTAAACATATGAACATGAGTAAGTTCTTTGTACAGGTGTCAGAAAAGAAGGCTCGAGCTTGGTGTGCATCCAAAGGAAATATTCCATACTTTGAGACATCTGCCAAAGAAGGTATTAATGTGGAAGAAGCATTCCAATGCATAGCAAAGAATGCCCTGAAAAGTGGAGAAGAAGAAGAATTGTAAGTTCCTAAACTTGGGTATCTCTTTCATATTTGTGAACTGATCAACTGAACATTCGAAGTCATGAATGCAATAAACTAGATCTCAGATTATGAAATTTTGTTATTTGTTGGGAGAGATTAGATTGGTCACGTCAGTGTTCTAATTCACAATGCCCTTCCTTACTTTATTAAAATCGGAATATCTATCTATTATTGATGTTTCTTTATTGAGATTTGAGACAAACAATTAGTTATGCTGTATCAGAAAATAATGGATTCTGGACATAGCAAAAGCTGATATTGTTTGTAAAGTGCATGTTCCTGTTTTATATTTTTGTAATAAACGTGAAAGAGCACTATTTACTATGACACAATTACAACTGCTTCGGGGGTTAGTGTTGGAGATGCTAGTTTGTCTAAATAATTAAGTCCTGCAATTGGTTATTGGTGGTGTGCATCTTGTTTGCAGTATTTTTTGGTGGTTAGCCAGAGATCATGACTTTTGTTATTATATAATCTTGATTTATCCATTCCTATGTTACTGATATCACGTTTTGGGTTTTGTTGTCCATGCTTATTGAAGATACCTGCCAGACACAATTGATGTCGGAAACAGCAGTCAACCACGGGCAACAGGGTGTGAGTGCTGAATATATAGGTTTTCCTTTCAATACAAATAAAGTACATTACTTCGAAATATATTTCGCTGTGTTTAGCCATTGCTGTCTATGAGGCATCATTGTACATTAATGTGTTTGCTCAAGAAACAAATTGGTCCAATGCTAGTTGGGTGCTTGTTTGGTTTGTGATAATTGATCATATTAGTTGTTCTACATGTATGTTATTCCGATATTGTGAAAGAAAACAGCGTAACAAGATCTTTTTGAAGTTATGTATTGCATTGTTCATTGTTGATTGTTATTTTTGTTATCCAACAATTTTATACGAGTATTGCTTTGGTGATCGACCCTCAACATACTAGAGTTTGCGAGAAGTTCTTGGTTATCTCTCAAGGTATTGAAGCTACCGACCGACCAATATATAACCTTGGTTTGCTTCAAATCATGGCGAGCAAATTTTCCGACCCCTGTAATTCAAACAATAAGGGCCTGAAACATATTCTAGATTAAGCTTATGTTATAAATTATGTTTGCGGCGGATCTTCTCTGGTTTTGGAAAAAGAAAATGGCGGAGGCGAGGTGTAAAGATCTTTTCGAATACACCGAAATTTAGTCATGTATCCGACTTTTGGTCCCATCATAAACTCTGATAGTTGTTATTGTATATAAATTCCTTATTCTAAGTTCATGCGTAGTTTGACTTTACAAAAGAGTTATCCATTTCAGTTTTTAGTGTTAATTGAAAATGATATATAAAAGGTAGTACAAGTTTTTTAATCAAAAGAACAACTTACGGCATTAAGAAATGGGTGGAAGCTGAATAAAAATCAATTTATTCAAATCCTATCTGAATAAATTTGTCCAATTAATACTTGTTAGTAAAATTGTAGAATTTATTTTTTACAGAAATCAAAATTAAAATGTTTTTTGTTAAAATCTATTATTTAATCCTCAATTCACTAATTTTTTTTCCTCTTGTAAATACTTAAAAATCCAAAATCGGTATTACTTTTATAGATCAATAGTATATATGGGTTTTACTTCGAAAGAAAAACACCAACAAACTGGTCCTCTTAAAATCCGCCGAAAACGGAGATTCCACGACCATAAAGGCAAGGGCGGTAGAAGAGTTGAGATGTAAATGAAGAAAAGAAATGACAGGTAAAAAACAACCATAGCCAAACACTGTAGCCAACTCTTGATCATTGCGAAACTGCTATATATTCTTTATGAAGTCATCCAAATTTCAATATGTTCTTATCCAATAATGCAGAGAATAGCATTAAAGTTAGAGGATTGAACGCGCACATTTTGCACAGCTATCCACTTGTTTTAAGTTAAACACCTCAAAAATAAATTTTAAAAAATGGCTCTACAACTTCAAACTTTTCAGTAAATATCCGTCCTCTCATCTGGCTGCTCCAACTCTGGTCGCTGAATTCCCAATCGGCGTCAATTTGGAGTTAGTCCTAACCAGCACTTGACCTTTGAAACAATTGACTGGATCAAGTGACATGGGTTAATAATAATGCATGCAACAAGTGCTATAGCAGAACACTAGTATCAATAGAACCAAACAAGCATCTATACTGGAACTAAATACATTTTTGGTTTTTACATGTTGATACTCCTTTTTAACTTGGTGCTTGTAGTACAAGGTAGCCTCCATATGTACACAACCCTTTTCAATTTCCTCCAATTCGTACTATTATTAAAGGGAGTAAATAATTTAAAAGCAACCAAGCAATGTGGAATAGCAATATTAATTCACAATACTGACTGGTAAGTATTTGGCATTGTGAAGAGCGACTGAACAATTTCAGTCAACATAAAAATATTAAATTACTCTTTTGATTCTTTTACATTAATCCTTATACTTAAAAATCATCATTTTTAGTCTCTATATTTAAAAGTCATCTCTTTTAATTCTTATGATAATATTTTTAAAACCATCTAGATTTGAGTTTAAACAGTGAAGGCTAATTTTTTTTTTAAAATAGTATATATATGAACTAAAAGATTAAATTTGCATTTGAAAACTAATATGATTTGTTACAAACATATATAAATTAAGATGGGCCCGGTATCCATTAAATAAGATTAGTTTCTCAATAAAAACAAATCAAAGGTATTGTCTTGCACAGAGGAGACAACTCCTATTCTAAAGCATTTACAGTCCAGATAGAAACGTGCATAATGCGATGGGAAAATAAGAACGGAACAGGTACCGTTTCTATTCATAAGAAAGAGCAATTTATTCAATTCAGTTCTCACATATCATATTCGATCAACTCTATTAAATGGAAGGATATTTGTGCAGAAACAGGGAGTTGAGGAGACTGTTGGGCCAAAAGAGAAAAAAAATAAAGGACGCATATTCCCAATATAGGAAAAAAGCAAAATCCAGAAAAAAATAAGGTCAAAATACAAAATCATGTCTTCAAATTGGAAACGGATTGTCATGTTCTCTCCTCAAATATTTCAGGTTTTCATCCACATGAGCTAGCTAAATATTCCCAAGTTGAACTCCATATGATTCTTTTCCTTCATCATCATTTCCTAATTGTTATCTTTTTGTGTAATTTTTTTTTCTATTTACTTTGTTGACTAAAAATGTACCAGCTATTTACTACTCCATTACATTCAACTGAGCTGCCATAAAGAATATACTATCTTGACCTCAACTAAAACAAAATCCACAACAAAATGAGAGTGGATACTCACATTGTCAAAATGATGGTGAGAGATCAGTACGTACGAAGACAAGAACTTTTTTAGCAGATGTACTCAACCTTTATTTTGTCCCAACAGAAGAAAGTTTTTCCTGGTTAGGAGGTCGAACTGAATTCCCTGTTGCAGTCGAAGATGCTAATGGGTTTTGAAGAGTAGTAGCTACAGTGCCTGCAGGTCTAGAAATAAATGGCCTTTGTGGACTCATCATCATCATTTGTGGTCTTGGAAGTGAATTTGGAATATTTGTAGGAATCCTATTGGTTGGTAGAGTTGGTGGTACACCTCTAGAGGAGGAAGCTGGTAAACCAAGCCGTGATGCAATAATCAAAGCACGCTCGTGATAAAGCTTATGCCGTGATCGCTCTACATGCTCCCTTGCTCTCATCACCACATTCTCCACATCATTGAAAAAGGCCAACTTAGTTTCCAACTTCTGCAACTGTAAGTAGACAGAACATACCAAGATAGTTAGAAGTAAAACATTAATACAGGGCAATGAGATCTTTATCATGCCATGAGAATACCTGTTTTTCTATCAACAAGGACGTAAGCTGTCGGATTTGGTCTTCTTCCTGATTTGCTAAAAGTTTTGCTTTTACTGCTGCTGCAGCAAGTGTAGAGACTGCAGCACGTTTCATTTTCTCAAAATTGCTATCCTGTTTAGTCTTCGTCTCATTATCCTCCATTTTTGCTCCATTATCTGCATGATCATTACCTGCCCCAGTATGTTTATTTTGTTCATTTTATGTGGATAAAAATCGAAATTTGAAAAAGATCCTAAATTATTGAGTTAGACCTCTAATTATATTTTTTTGAATAAATATGGTTTTTCTTTTTTTTTTTTCTGTGCATGTGGGTGGATGAGAGAGGAAGGAAAAGAGAGACCTGTACTTGCATCATTTTCAGCACCAGAATTTGGTCTAACTGGATTTGATGGTGACATCATATCTATATCGTTTTCTGTTCCATTACATTGGGATGATTTTGATGTTAATAGTTCCTGCGAGTCAATCTTTTCTGATGGCAAGGAATTAGAAACTCCATCAACATCCATGGCTGAGTCTGTTGTTTCTACGGATTCAGAACCTGGATTTGTTGTTTGTGGATTTTGAGACTTACTCTTAGTTGGGGGAATAGAATCAGAAACTGTCTCACATTTTGATGTCTCTACTGGCTTTGGATGCTTTCCTGGTAAATTGGATTTAAGTGACTTAAGTTCTTTCTTCACTGATGGGAGCGAATCAGACGCACATAAGCCCTTCGTAAAATGACAAGGTTCTTCGGTTAAAGTTTCCTCCTGAACCTTGTCAGAATTAGATTGGATTTCATCCTTGGATTTTGAACCACCTGAATTATGCAGAGTGCCTGGTGCTTGAGCATTGGATAGCTTTGCACTGACAGGAACATTGCAATTGTCAAGCCCACTGTCATGATTTACCATTGGTTGCTCCTTTGAAGAAATTGGTTTTTCTGAGGCTTTATCATCTGTAGAAGCCGGCTGTCCCTTGTCTTCTAAAGTGTTACTTCCAATGTTCACTTTATTGTAATCATTCGGTAAATCTTTATCATCCAACATCAGTTGGTCCTTCTTTACATTTACTTCATCCTGATCTCCCTCGCTTTTAGAATCCCTATGGTCAAAATTCAGAAACAACATTGTAAGTTCCAATAAACAAGCACTGGACTAGTTATCAAACTACCAAAATGCAAACTATCCATATAAGCCACATACCTCTCAGAACTAGTTGGTTCCTTCCTATTATCCATCGGATCTTCTAGAAGAAAGCAACACCTTGCAGCAAGTTCAATGCCAGGAGAATTTCTTGACATGGACTTTATGGAGCTATGAGCTGACGCAACAGCCACATCAGTACCCACCAAGTGTGCAAGGAAAGTTGCCTGTAGAAGAAAGCAACAAAACATTACTTAGCAAGAGGGAAAGTGTAAGACTATATGGGACATATATACATGAAGTGACACAAGAGAAAGGCTGTATATAATTTAATAATAAGGATTACTTAACAGTGTAACAAACACTAGCAGTTTTGCAAGGCTTGTCATTTGCAGCCACTAGACATGACACAGTGCACAAACAGCAGTTGCAAGCTTACAGCAAAATATAAGTGATTCAAAATTATTGTTCTGAAGATAGGAGATTCGAGTTAAATAATTCAAACTAGATACTTGTAGCCATACACCAAAAATACACAGAATTGATGTTACTGTCTGAGCATCGAAGCATTCAACTTACCAGTGCCATGACAGGATTACCCACTTCAGCAAATGAAGAAGGGCCTTCAGGTCCAGGAGAATAACCAACAGCAGCAAATGCTTCCTTAAGAGCATTTATAGCACAGTCATTGCCTGCTTCCTCATCAGACTTCCCCTTAACAGCATCTTCTGATTTAGATGTTCCCTGACTAGCTTTCTCATCACTGCCTTCTTGTAACTTAAGATTTTCTTCCTGATTCACCTTCACTTCAACATTCTCCGCATTGGAAGTTTTATCATGGTCTTTGATGCCATCGCTAGTGTCATTCTCAACACACTCTGAAGCATCCTTGTCCATAGATGAGTCATTGTTTGTCGCAACTGGATCTGCAGGTTCTTTGCAACCAGTATCAACATCATCATCAGATTCAACAAAGGTATCCTCAATTGGCATTTGAACAAAGTGCAATATGCACTGAGCTTTTGTTTTTGTTCCAACATGTTCTGCAATCTCATTCCAATTTTCTTTATAAAGTTCTAAGGCCTCAAGGAGCAGAAGGGTCTCTTGATCAGTCCACTTTCCACCATTAACCCCTGCAACTTCAGCTGGTTCCATGAGTATAAAATCCAATGAAGACATGCCCGAGCCAAATCTTCTATTACTAAAGCAGTCGGAACATAGATCAAAATCTGCCTGTCAGACACATCACAGAATTGATAAAATATACAAGATGAAATGGAGGAGCAAATTATATAATCATGAATAACAGCGCTCCAACAAACTATTAGTCATAATTCAACATAGAGTATAATAATTAACCAGCCTTTTGCTAACTAATTTACAGAAACCACTACACCCACAGAATCAATCAATATAAACAATGACCTTTTGAGTCAGTAAACACTTGACTTCTCTTTATTATTGATTCCTTAGTAAGTTCACTAGTAATTGAAAAGGTTTCAAAAACTGACTGTAGCTGTTACACAAATCTAGAAATGTTCATTTATGGTGCCATTTAACAAAATTTAAAAAATCTATAATCCAACTCGGATAAGAATGTAAAGTGATTCCATACTATCAAGCTACAAAGGTAACTAACAGAAAATATTTATTGTAGACCCATAAAAATGTGCTAATAATTTAACTCCCCAGTAGAAATGATGATACTACTTAAATAAGAACACCAAGTTTAGGACAAGATTGCATTTCAGTGGTATACAAGGAATGATAAATTAATATATTTAAAAATCAGTGATATCTTCAGCATATCACTATAAGATACACTTTCAGCTACAGGTATACCAACCTGCTTCTGGCAGTGGTAACGTTTGCGAGAACAATCAGCAGAACATGAGTTGCAATGGTACTCAAGCATCTCAACTGCTGGCCCCTCTTGTTTCACCAACTCTTCAGCAATTGTAGACTCTGGAAACAAACCAGAGGCCGCAGCTGGAGTTGTTTGGCTAGACCTTTGAACAGGTGGACATAATTGGAGAGTTTCAAAGTGATACAATTTTTCAAGCAAAGAATTCTTTTCGGCCTCCCCATCATCACTGGCAGTGGCCACAGCAGAATCCATTGAAGGGAATGGGTGGAAGTTAATTAAACCCCAATAGTCCAAAAACTCCATTACCTCTTTCCTAGCATCCGCATCTCCAACATTAAGCTGTGACATATCTTTCGATTCAATTTGCACATTTGGATTTGAATGAAACTTCTTCATTATCCAATTCCTTATCTCCAAGTATACATCAGGTGTCCGATTTTCAGCCTTGCCATTAAAGAAAGAAGGCAACATTTGCTTCTCAATTTCATGAATATACAACCATGAAAACCAACCTGAAATTAAGTTCCAAAGATAAAGTGTTAATTTAAGAATAACCTTTTTTAACTCTGGGACAAAACTTCAAAACATTGAAATAGTAAATCAACCATTTGAACACTTGGGGCACCATACATTTGCATAAAAGTATCACCAGTATCTTGTTGGACGATTACAATAAAGGAATTAATAATCATACTACACCCTTCTTTAAATTATGCAACATGCTATTGGACCCAGCAGCAAGGACGATATGTCTTGCTCAGCAGTTTTCTTCTTATCTAGGGTTCAGAAAGTTCCAACGAACAAAACAGAAACACTCAATCAGTTTCACACAGTTCTACCTAACATTTCCTTGCACCTATCTGCTACAAAGTCTACAATCATCAGCTATTTTATTAAAAGTCAAACTGTCAACAGCAGTGACGGACGGACCTAGAACGTTTGGGGGCACCCCTCAATTATGTAAAATTACAATTAAATATATGAAATTTTTATTTTTTGTACCCCACAAATTTATACATTGATCCCATAAACAAGTAAGAGACACATATGTTAAAATAAGAGTTTAAAGTTATACTGTTTGGATGCGCCTCTGGTCATCGCTTGTTTTGCTGATTCATATTAGGCAAGGTCAGCCTGGTCTAGTCAAATTTCAGAACATAGAACAACCACATAAAATTTCCCACATGAAACCTCTTCTATCCATAGCACGACTCTAATGTAACTTAGAAAAATACCTCAGTTCTCAAACAACTACACCTACTTACGGTAACGTAATTTAAATTGCGAATTGGGAAGATAAGCAAACCGCAAATGGTATAAACATAACTTAAGAGAATCTATCATGCAGCAGTTCAGTCAAATCACTCGTTCGTAGCAGAACATCAAGTGAACAACAATGACACAAAATCAAACACAGCGTGTTTCATACTAGTAACTACAATTGAAGCCCTAAAGCTAAGCATAACGAAATTAGGGTTTGAGAAATGGCCCAAGTCTCACCGCAATGAGTGGGAACCACGTGCGCATTGGCACCGCGAGATCTGATAGCTTCGAATTCCGCTTCAATCGCGGCCTCCAGAGTCTCCCACTCGCTCTCCTTCCTGAGCTGTTCGGCGAGCGCGGCGGAGTCGGCAGCAGATGGGTGGGTACGTTCGGAGTGTTTGACGGCTGGGGGAGCAGAAGCAGCAGCGGAAGAGGAGGCTGCGGCGAGGGAGTTGGGGGTTTGGCGGGCGCGGGTGAGGGGGCCATTGTGGAGGGGAGGAGGGTGGAAGGGCGAGGGCTTGTCGCGAGGGGCACGTTTGGAGGGGGCAGAGGAGGAACCGGAGGCGCTGAGGGCTGCGGACTTGCGCTTGTTGGTTCCGGCGCGGCGGCGTGAGGCGGGCTCTGATGCCGGGGAATCTGCGGCGGAGGAAGGGGCGTCGCGGCGTTTCTCCTCCATGGAGAAGAGAAGGAGAAGGTGAAGGGTTATTAGGGGAAAAAAAAATAAAATTGGGTGAGTGAATGTGAAACCGTTGTGGAGGTGCCCTTGGCCTGCCTTAGAAGAACACATTACACATAATACGTCGTCGTTACCTCATTTCCCTCTTTTGTTATTTCCAGCTTCCCCTTTTTACTCCTTCCCCCACTCCCCTCCCTACTTGCCTACGCCTATGCAATATTACTGCATATTATTCTCTCTTTTCTAATATTCTTACTCCTTTTTTTATGAATAATATTAATACATATTATTTTTATTATTTTATGCTTCTTCTCGTATGTAGATAAATAAATAAGTATATTTAAAGTCACTGAACGATGTACTTTAATCACTTGTTCACTAATGAATGGTAACTTTTGCGAAAAAACTCACCAGAATCAGAGGTCCAAAAACATTGAAAAATTATGTTGATAAATAAAATATAAATATTAGAGTTGAAATGTGAACTAAAATCTTAAATTGATATTGTGGAGTTTGTTTACGATCATAATAAATCTTACCTCCACTTTACATATTAACTTTCAAGTCATCAAATAATAATTTATTTTAATTATTAAATTAAAAATAAGAGCAAATAAATTATTTTTTCTTTTATATATTACTTTATTTTAATTGATAAAATAAAATAAAATGGTGATATCGTTTCTATTTTCTTATCTAAATGATGACATTAAAAAATTTAGTGCCTTTTTCTCATCATCTCTTACATTCTAAAAATTAATTTATTTTAAAAAGTAAAACACTAAAAAGACACCCCCTTCACCACTTTATTTCTATTGTGGGCTAAGTTTTTTTAGGGGCTATATTTATTTTCAATTTATCTTCTAAATAAATATCAGCAGCATAATGCTTTTCGTTTTTTTTTCTTTCTCTTTCGTTAAATTTTCAATTCATTTTTATTAAATTTTCATCTGCAAAAAAAATAAAAAAAATCACCAAAATATTGTTTACACTATTATCTTTAAAGAAATCAAAGTGTTACAATACCAAATAAAATAATCCATCGAACTAGTTTGTAAATTATAGTAATAATGGTCAGCCATTTCAACTTCAAATTTGTGAATATATTATGAGTATTTGTGTCTTGTATTAATTAATAATGAAGGTTGTAATAATAATTTAAAAAATAAATTATTTGTTGTTATTCTTTGACATCAGAGATCAAATTTAATAAGTTCATTAATTTAGAAATCCAATTGATGATCACCCTCAAGTACAAAGTTTAGAATAACGATAACGTAATCAAAATATCTTATTATTTTAATATTTTTTCATTCAAAATATTCATAAGAACTTTTTTTTTCAGTAAATAAAATAAAAATAATAAAAATATAATTGATAACAAAATATTTAACATAACGTTAGATTTTATAAATCAATTTTTCTAAAATAAGATATAATTAAAAAGGTAACAGATAAAATAATTATAATAAAAGTTAATAAACAATTTCAGCAATAGCAAAGACAAAATATATGCCATAACTGGATTGGTAGAAGTATACATGTTATTAAAGAAAATGAAAAAAATCCTAAATCCTAAAATAAAAAAAACTAAAAAATATAAATTATATTTCATTAATTTTTTTAATCATAAAAATTGGAAATGGTTAGTATTCTAATTTTATATTTACTGTAATAATATTTGAGTTAATAATTACATCTGATTCATCATAATTTTATTTTTAAAATATGTTTTATAGATTAAAAAAGGATGATATATATATATATATATATATATATATATATATATTATTATTGTTCTTACTCAAGAAAATACTTATAAATATACAAGTCAATGCTTAACAAAATAACAAAATAAAGATGAGTAAAATAAGATTTTATCTTTAATCTTACACTAAGTATCTATTCATTTATAGACTTTTTTTAGTAAATTTTATAAACAAATATTTTTATTATATATTTATTATATGTTATTATCAAAATACTCGTTATTATAGAAAATATTTTCGCTATTAAGTAAATATTAAATATTATGAATTTGGAGAGAAATATAAAAAATATTTTTACAAAGCAATTATTAGTTAAATTTTGCTATTTAAAAAAAATATTAAAATAGAATATAAATAATTGTATTTATAATTTCATAAACTGTTTTTAAAAATTCAAAAACACTAATTGATAATATCATATGCCACACAAAATAAAAACAGATGAAATGAAAAAGGGAGAGTGAATGGCGTGAAGGATTGGAGAAAGAAAAGGCAAAGAGGATAATGAGATGACATAATCAACAAAAGCATTCATACGAAATAATGTTAAAATCATGTGTTGTGTGGCCACATACACTATTCACAATTTTACCAATATAACAATGATGATTTCACGTGTATAATGTAGTTGACATTAAACATATACACTAAAACCAACTTGAGTCAAACATTCTTTATTAAAACCCGAATCCTAGTTGCCATGCTTTGGAACTGAAACAAAACAGTGGTCTACATGTTAGTTTGTTGTCAAATCTCAACTGTCCTTTAACATGTATTGTTTCCGCAGAGAACAATGATAATGGGTAAAATTATTTCTAGTACTTATGTTTTTTTATTTATTTACTGATTTTCAAAGTGTTAACTTCGTTTTTCTTCTTACTTAACTTTATAGCTACACAATAGCTAGGTTGTCTTTCTAGATGAAAATTATTCTTAATAAAAATAAATAGAGACTCACATGTAAAATGTATTGAGTTAGTTCAGAGATAAAAAATTTATAATATTAAAATATATTTTTTAATTTTATAACTTTTATATCCTGTAATTGACTTAAACTTCGAAATATAGCCTGTAATTGATTAATATAGATTATTGATGATTCTTACATTCGAAAAGAATAATTTTCAAAAAAAAAATCTTTTCGTAACCATAAGAATTAAATATATATATATATATAAAAGGAAGGAACCAGTATCTTTCATAAATTTAATAATTATTAAATATTAACACAATCCATTAAATATATCAAATAAGAAGATGATATTTTATATTCTCTCATATTTTTATATTTTTTATTAATTATCACTAATATATTATTTGACCTCAAAATCATTAATAATTTTTATAGTGTAATTAATATATAATAATTTGATTCTTTTAAACAACTCTTAATTCATGATCTGTATATTCTACTATAATTATACGATTCTTTAATAAGTTGGTGTAAATATTTGTTATGAGTTTTGCTCCCGTGTTTGGGATAGTATTAATAATGTAGTTAGTATATATTAATTTAATGATTTATCTAAAACAAGTATTAATACATGATAGAAATATTCTAAAGAGATATCATGATTGTATGATTAAGATATTAACTTGTAATTCCCCAATTTAAGAATTAGTCACTGATTGATTGTGAGTGAGTGAAATATGTTAGGAGTATTAACCACACAAATAATTTTAGTTATTCATTTGTCACTCATGTTTGTTAATTTAGTTGTTATAAACACGAGATTAGATTTTTAATTTTAACTGTGTTAATTAGATTCTTTAAGTATTTTAATTTCACATACATTACTTCATTTCATATTAACGTATAAAATGGCATGCATAGTGATACCAAATAAACTCAATGCTTATATTTTGTTAAATGGCAGAGACACATAGCCAAAATTATGATGAGTTTTTTTTTTAATTATTATTGAAATTTATATACATTTTAATGTATTTCCATTTTTTTTTTATTTCAATCCTTGTGGTGTTTGTTGTTTTTTCTTTCTGGTATTGGTCTCTTTATGAAGCGGGCTTTTACAGCCCATGTTAACGTTTGTTAACGGCACATATTTTTTTTTCATCGCTCGTGCTTCTTTCACCTCCATAATTTCTATATACATTTATATATTCTATATCAAATATCTAAAATATCATTCTCACAGTTTTATTTTTTACCCTACCTTTCTTTTCTTCTATTTATGTAAGACTTCTGCCTTTATCAGCCTGCACCTTCATCCTTTGATTATTATCCAAAATTTCAGACTAGATAACCATGGTAGTGTTTCATGTTACAAATTTATGCATTATCAATCTTTTGTTAACAATTCTTTTTCTTCTTAAAATGTGCTATCAAATTTATGTTTAATCAAAACAATACTTACATATTTTTCAAACCATAATAGAAAATCAACTTTTATTTGTTTATCAATGATATAATCAAAGAGATTCTCATAGTTATTTTTGAAAGTGATATCATCATTGAGATTTCTATGAGTATCTTTCGAAGTTTGTACATATAAACTATAAAAAAGAATAATTAAATTATATGACTATTATTAAATAAATTAAATTTGACAACTATATAATATTTGATACTTGTTCAATGAACGGTTTAACTTCTTTACAGTTCAACAGAACATGCAATTGGACAGATCATCATTTCTCTATCATTAAGCCACCTTTCTTTATATTTACCAATCATTTATCCAAATAGCTTAATGATAGATAATGTTAGTTTTGTACTATCTTCATGAACTCCTTCATTTACACAAATTGGAGGTGTAAAATAATGAGAACTGAAATAGGATGTTTGTTGCAGTAAATATGTTTCACAAATGGACCTTTCCACACTTCTTTTTTTTTTCACGAGTTTTTTAAATTTTATTTAGAAACCTATGTACGAGAAAAATGTAATATCAATTATTCGGTGAATTGCAGTGGTGAATCTTGACCAGCCAGTTTGGGGGTCAATTATAAAAAAAATTATATAATAAAAAATAAAAAATAAGATATTTATTTAAAATTGTGTCCTTCGTTCTTTTAAATGTTTGAACTCATCAATAATGAAATCAGAACTAAAACTTTCAACTATTTCTTTTTCAATATAAATGATCATATTATCTCGCAAGAATTTCATCTTCCATTCTATTTCACGAGTCTTGTTTTGATAATTTTCATTGCGAGAAAATGATCTTTCGGTTATAATCGTAGAAACAAGAAGAGTTAAAATAAGACAAA